GCGCAAGAGTGGGTCTGTCACTTGTTTTTTGCTTGATCCACCAAAATCCTTGGATCCACCCATTCATCCCCGATTCCACTTTCCGTGTTCACTCGTCCTTGAGTAGGTCGCCATCTTCTCGGCGTTGGCTATCGAAGATGGAGACAACGGCATCTGACGTGCAGGCCGCTGGGAAAAGACAACCTACTTGACAGAGTCTAGGCAAAGGAAGAACAAAGCAAGAACACAGCGCACTTGATATACTTTGTGATCGAAGATGGACATCGCACATTTACCTTATCTATATCATTATTGTTGGTCGATTAGAATCCCGCAGCTACAACTTTGAATGGGACATTTCGGGAGCATGTCACTGAAGAAATACAAGCATTTGAATTGACTGTTGGCAAATCAGTCATCGACTTTCAACATGCACATTCATTATTGAAAGTCTTCCGTTGTGAGAAGGTAGCAGTTGAATGCAGTTGATATTTACTGAAGAGCAGTCTGCCTTCTGCGGCGTCTAAGAGTCTAGGTTTGGAGGCAATCTGAACTTGGCATTAGCTGTGAGCTTTCAACGAGACACCAAGCATGCACTTGTATGAATGGTGGGAATCACAAGTAACAAGAAGCTATTAGAAACAAGTGCCACGCTAGTAGTAACAGGTGCCTTACTAGTAGTAACAAGAAGCTAGTAGGAACAAGTGGGAGTCAAACACAGTTCTCCCGGAACTGATGTTGGGATGCCCCGCCGCTGCGCCAGGGGGCGGTGCTGCCACCGGGGTGTCGAGTTGCCAAATAGTCCTCGTGCCGAGTCGGCCAAAGTCGGCTTTTTTGACAAATGTATACAACATGTATCCATATTATGTATCCAACCCATTAGCCATGGCCTCCAACCTACTAGGATGGCCAACCTAAATGTATTTTGATGTATTTGGTTACGCACTGCCGCACATGCAAAGCTGACATTTTGAGTCGCACAGCTGTGTCATCTTTCAGTGAATCTCAACAACTGCCTTGATGACGCCCAACCCGCAATGTGGAATCCCATTGAACCTAATGATACCTATTGAACAGAACATAATGGTCCTGCTATCTCAAAAAAAGATGCCCACCACCCAAGGTCTGAAGTAGGACAAGTTGAGCGTGACGCTGGCGATATGAGGAAGTTATGCGTTTCAGTATATAGATTCAATGTGACTCGATCCAAGATCTCCAGGGAGGGACTTTCAGGGACACGTCGCACGACGGGTCCGACCAAATCCCTGCAGAGTCTGGTGGGGAGCTAGTGAGCCGGAAAACCGAACGGACGAGAAACCACTCTGGGCCTTAAGGGCTCATCATAGCGCTGACCATTTGCATCGATTTCACGAGGACGGTCGAAGTAAGCCCTCAGTATGAGGACGGGCGGAGCCACGAGTGCCAGGCTTGGAACTTCTATGAAAGTTTTAACATTTAGCAAGCAGTATATGTGATCCCATTCACGTCTGCGTTTATGTTCTATCCTGCTACGAGTACAAAGAGCTGATCTTTAAGCACCTTTTGCCTTTTCGTCCAGGCAAACAAACATCATCCATCAAACAACATACTTTGCCATACACTGCCACTCAGCTCGCAGGTGGGCCAAAGAAGGCTTCGCTCAGACACTCACCGCACATTCTTTTGCATCTTGTCGTTGACCGTGGAGTACAACAGGTGGTGCCTGAAGTCCAAAGAAATGGCCGCACTGCAGCAGTTGATGGTTTCCCAGTGGAAGGGAACGACCAGGGCAGAACCTGTTGTGAATGGACAAAGAAAGGAATGTGTCAGTGACACAACAGAGATGGACAACTACAGAATCTGTCCAAACATTTGTTCCATGACGAAAACCAAAGGTTTAGGGATGCCATGGCATCAGAACTGGCATCAGAACTTACGACAGTCTTGCTTGGGGTGGTCCAAATTCGCTTCTGCACAAAGAAGACTTGCGCATCCAACAAGCAGTGACCTCAACAGGACTAGCTCCTTACTGTTTGACAAAAGCTTGACTAAAATGGATCGCCATTGGGGTGGAGGCCATCGCTAATAGGTATTCTAGCTTGACTAAACTACATAGATCCGAGAGCTCGAACCATCCTGGCCTATCATTCCAGGGAGGCCGTCCCTTCCGCTTCGGCGCTAACAACAGCTCACCCGTTGACCTCGGGTGACGACTGCAGGATAATTCCCTCTTTTGGGCCCCTTCTTCAAATAGACCACCCTGAATGGACAGTCATGGACAGTCTGTGTTCTCGCACGAGTTCTACCTTTTTAGTGAAAGCAACATGAAGTTCAGCAAAGCCTCAAACATGTCAAAGCTACTGACATGACATTTGGGTGTCTAGAATAGGGAGACCCTGATGACACCCAGTGAAAAAGGACATATGTCAACCAGCAGTTGTGGAGCCTCTTTCTTTTTAGCTGAAGGAGCTTCGTATGTATAGTAATATATATATATATATAGTATATATAGTATAGCTCTTCACTTTGTTTACTTGCCAACCCGAAAGCTGATCCCTTCAGCTTTCTGAGCTCATCACTGGCTCTTGGACATAAGCTCTTGTGCTGCTTTCAGCTGACCACGGCCGCGCCTCCGGCCTGCGGAGATGGTACAGATTCTTGGGTCTCTGGTTAACTATTGCCTGGAACTGTTTTGCTTCGGGGACTCTGATCTGGTGAATTTGGTATGCTTTGTGCGGGGTGAAGGGCCACACAAAACACTGAACACAAATGCATCTAGAGTTGATCAATTTGGATCAATTTGGTAGCTTCTCCTTCTTCTCACGTGCCTGTGCTGCTGCTAGGGGAAGGCTCTAGAGACTCGCCACCTGGCAGCATGTTTTCCGTGTGTGACGATGTGACCACCCGACTTTGAAATAGCATCCCTGATGCGACTAAGCACGGCTTGATGCTACAGCTACAGGTTGCAATCTACAACGGCAAAAAATCCAAGTCCAGCAAATTTCTTGGTTTCCATTGATTTCCAACATCAAGGCATCATAACATCCTGTCTGGCACCATCTGCTCAATCATTGGGACTCTGTTTTGCGAGCAAACACAGGGACGGATTGGTCTCAAGGCAGCAAAACAACCCATGATTCAGCCCTACCAGGTGGTTGGCACGCAAATGTTCAAAGACATCTTTCTTCCGACCCACTCAGCTCATTCATTCAGCAGAATCGGTAGCTCTCCAGCCTGCGGTGGTGGCCACATTGTTGATGACCAACAGGAGCTCATCCCACTTCCGGTGCACCTCCCCAGCGGGCGAAGGGAAAGAAAGGCAGACCTCATACGATCAGGATATGGATATGGTGACAAATCCGCAATCCACACACACAGAGATAATAAAGTTATGTTCACGGCGTTCCCTCTTTCCTTTGCAAAGCACCGGAAAAAAAAACAGGGAGGAAGTTTGTCAAAGGTGCTGCAGTTGTTTTCAGGGCCTCCTCAGGCGTCAGCTGCTTCTGATCCTTAAAACACGCGACTTCACAACTGAGCGAAGGGCCAAACACACACCATTTGAGGGCTGGGAAATCACATGAGTTTCATGGAGCAACAACGTTCTCAACATTACTGTCTCTGTTTGGTGAATGCTCTCTGTTCACTCCTGTGAGCAACTGGCAACATACAAAAGCAATTGTCAAAGGTTTACATGTAATCACAATAACTCAAATTCCAAGAGAATGACATCCAAAAGGCCCTTGGTTTTGCAACACGTGGATTGCAGCATTTTGGCTGAGCACCCTGGCCATGTGGCCGGCCGTTGTGGACGGCCTTGCCCAAACAGCACCGTCCACAGGCCGTGCAAATGGCTCGTCCGGAAGAGGCGCCGCTGTGAAGATGTTCAACCGCGCGAAGGTTTTCAATTCCGAAGGCCCCTGGGTAAAGAGAACGTAAGACCATAACAGGCACTGTAGGCATTTCATATTGAGGAGACCCAACCGGGTCTTGTGAACAAAGGCAAACCTTGGATCCTCAAGCCACGACGTAAGACTTTTTTGATCTTCACCTGATAACCTGCTGAATTGATACTAACAGATTAATTCAAGGTCAATTGATGGCAAGCAGGTTTGGAACTTGGTCTTGGGGAACTGAAAGAAGTGAATCAAGCAGTCCCGAAAAGCTTGATGTGCTTTTGGAGAACATGCTGCACCACCATACCTGACATGGCCAGTTTCCACAGGATTGTATGTGTATGCCACACAGTGCAGAATTTGTTGTTTATCAACAACCGCAACAAAGCTCTACTCAGCTACTCGTTGATTGACTCCAAATTATTGTGGCAACCGCATACAAACCTCGTCATAGTATCTTTGAAGCCGCCACCAATGGCACCCACGATAAAGGCTTCGACTTCTAGCTTGGGAACGGTTCTGCAACAAAGCTCCTGCTTTCACTTGTGGCATTCATGCTTGTCCAAATCAAATACGCATGCTAACCAGGGACTTCTGTGCGGCAGCATATGTGGCTGTGGTTATCTGGCCAGCTGAGAGCATGTCGCCCCTTGGTTTCAATTCGGGCAGCATTCATCCGGCTTTTTGGGCGAAGCACCTGTGCATGCACTGGTATATATATATATATAACAATGGAGGCAGCCAAGCGAAGCAATCACGGGATCCCTAAGAAAGATTAAGAACAGCATTTGTTGCATTTTTACATTGGGTGTACATCAACGGACAATCCTGAGGAACACTATACACTAGTACTACCAAATCATAGGGGGTGGAAAGCAGCGCATGCGGTCAAATGCTTGGCTTGGTTGTCCTCCATCCTATGGCATGCAAGCCCATTCTGATGCTGAGTAGAACCCGGTATTCGACATGCAAAACCATAGAAACAAGTAACAAAAAACATAGGAACTCACAAGTGCTTGCCCGTGATGTTTTGGATGTACCCAACACTTGCTGATTCCAGTGTGGGCAGAGTTTAACCAAATTTTTGCACTAGAGATTATTCTTCAATCATGAAAGGGCATGAACTCTACACAGAGCTTTCTAAGGTTTGGACCAACAATCACAGCTTCAGTCAGCATCAGGAAGGCCAGTGAAACAAAACTGTCCGACTGTTGGAAACCTGAAAGCACTGCTCTTCCTCGTTTGGGAGGGTTGAGCAATGCTGAGCAATTGAACATGCAAAAAGCATCGACCTTCCAAAAACTATCTGTTCGTCGGGTACATATTGAGGTAAATGGAAGTCACCCATTCCGCTGCCTCCATTGTCCTTCATTGCTTCCACTTGGTTTCTGAATGGAAAAAAGTCCTTTTCGCCTTGAAGTTTCCTCTCGTGCATCCTGGAGGCGACCGCTATTTGCGACACTCCAGTGGCGGGATCTCATCCTCCTCCTCTTCCTGGCAAGCACCGACAATGAGGTTCCAACTCCACCAGGATTGATTTAACCAAGTAGCAAAGGAGAAGCAAAGCAGAAGCAAAGCATGGCAAGCGACTGTTCAGGTTTGACTAATGAATGAGGCAGTGTTTCATCAACATTTGGACCGGGTCTGAGAGCTGGGAGCTAGGTCCAGGTAGTTCCGGACCTGCAATGACCTGCGACTTGGCCACCAAACTTATGACCTGCAATGACCATTCTGTATAGTTTTTGGGTTCTTGGACTATTCTGGATATCGCCAACACTGGATAGATGAGACCTTGGCAAATTGAAACTTGTTGTCTGGAACAGCAATCGCAGCAATCCGAGCAATGACTGTCCGACCATGTTCGACCTCTGTCCGATAGAGTCCTACAAGAATCCGGTGAGAAAAAAGTGTTGCTTGGCATTCAATCATTCAACATCATTCAAATTGTAAAATAACTACCTGCAAATTGTATAACTTCCTGCTCCTGCTCCGCTGTGCCTCTGTTGCTTTGGGTGTCGCTCGTGTTGTCTTCACCTCCCGGAGCAACGTGTCCTGCGAAAGAATGACCAACTGTGAGGCGGAGGGCAATTGGGAGTGATGCTCAAACAAATCCGCCAGCTGTGCAGCACTGGTTTGGGTGCTTCCCATGTCATGCACATACCTTCATTTCGCTAGTGGTCCTCCAAGGATGAGGCAACCATTCGGAAAACTGAATTATACTGAGTTGATTGACGTGAAACACCATCAACTTGCGAGGTGATATGTCATATGACCATTCAAAATGAACGGTAGATGTTCCAACAACGAAGCCTTGCTGCTATGTGGTTCTCGCACAGCAATGACTGCCTGTTGGTGATGCCTATGCGAAGTTGCAATACATACAACATATATCAACATATATAGTTAATACCTTCTTTGTGGTCTCTGGATGAACAGGCTAAGCTGCCGTGGAGAGAGAGAGAGAGAGAGTCGTCCCTCTTACCACAAAGACCCAAAGAGAGAATGGTAGAACGCCATGTCGCTGGGAAATTAGAGCCATATTCGCCCCACATAGCTGTGAGTCGTAGCACTGCAAGACTGTCAAACACCAGTCCCTCGAATCTCCCTGCGGTCGTGATGCACAAACCCAACAAGTGCAGTGAAAGCAGAATTCCTGCTTCTTTGGGGCCACGCGCTTGGGATCCTTGTAGATGCCTGCGTCACAGACAGGAAGGACCCTGAATAGTACACACAAGGTAAATAGCACATTGCATCAAAAAACTGTTTTCCTGCTTCTTTCCTCCAGCAGGACGGATATTGCAACTGCGGCTCGGCGCGCATTTGGATAAACATCAAGTCTTTGGCCTCCTTTTTTTTACCAATAATCTGCCGTGGTTCGACCTGCAGTCAGCATCTTTTCAAGAGCTGACTACACTCATAACCTACCTACCCTACCTACTCGACTGCACGAGCAATCTCAGCGCAGTTTTCTTTAAGGTATGGGGTATAAGGTGTCTAAAAGCACTATCAAGGCCTCGGCTGGGGAAGGTTTCAAAAGGACAATAATGTCTACATTGGCAGATCAAATCCCCGGCCTTGCAGAAACAACAAGTTCAACTGTTCCTGGGTAAAAGGAATAAAATTAGTATGATCAACAAACATATCTTCGGAATCCGACTCCCCTTCAACAACCCAATACAGTCCACAGTGTCCTTTGGCCTGTTGATGCTGGGACAGGGCCTGCACATTTGGAAATGCCCGACGGCAAGTTGAACAGGCCGGAAAATCGCCATGGAGGGTACTGTCTTGGTGCTGTTCTTTTGCACGTTCACTGTCAAACTCCTTGTTGCATTGTCCACAAACAAATGTTGGCTCTTCTTCGTCATTCACCCGTGCCATGCCTTGATGGCCTTTGGCAGATTGGTGCTGTGCACAATCAATATCGTCAGCGAAGGTCTTATTGCACTCCACACAAAGGCATAGGGGCTCGCGGCCCTGACACAAGAAGTGCTTGGAACACATAGCTTCCCAATCCTTGAACTTGAGCCCACATCCCAGGCACTGCACTTTCTTCTTGTCCCTTTTGGTTCCTGCCTTTGACTTGGGAACAGGTGGTTCTGTCTGTGCCTTGCTAGAGCTGGCTTTTGCTTTTGCAGAAGCCTTTTCTATCTTTTCTTTGGAATGAAGATACATGCAGGCAAAGCCATTCTTACATTCACCCTGAGCCCAATACTTGCATATTTGAGATCCAGGCTCGTTCTTGGAGTTTTTTTGACACATCTGAAGCCTTTCCGTTTGCCGGAGCTGCGTTCGAAGAGTTGTTTGGATTCTCCTTGCCTCGCTTGGCATTGGAAGGCTGTTTGTCATCACCCTTGGATTTCTTTGATTCATCTGAGGGCTTTCCAGACTTGTCTGAACCTTCCTTGCTTGGCTTGGCCTTGTCCTGTTTGACAGAGCTGCCACCTTTGCAATCTTTACCATCCGCAGGAGTCCGCACAGTGGAAGGAACTTGCAGTCTGAGCCGTTCTTGCAGCTTCCCTGGAGGAAGTATTTGCACATCTTGCTCTCCTTGCTCCCCTCATCGGTCCACTTCTTAGCGCTTCCTGGCTGGGTATCTGAGGCCTTGCTGTTGGCTTGACTGTTCTTAGCATCCTTGGCATTGGCAGCACCATTGGAGTTCCCACCTTTGCCATCACCAGCCTTGCCACCTGCGGCTGCTTTCGGTCAGGAAAGCAAGGAATCATAAATGAAACCAAACACCCAGTCTGCAGAAACTTCCTCTGGAGTGTGTCCAATTTATTCGTCATTTCCCCACCTTTGCCATCTTTGCTTTTCGACTTGGAAGCCTTCAAAGCATCGCTCGGATATCTTTCGAGGAACCTCATGCTGCTGTGAGTGAAAATGGGAAACTGCTCCCAGTTGGAAGAATAGGGCAGCTGGGGATCGGATCAAGGATAAACCTCAAATAACGTCAGCTCCATCAAGTGGGCTCTTGACCAAGCCACCTACCCCCACCAAACAATCACCTAAAATACACTGAAGTTTGCTTATATGCAAACAAACACGTCTTCCAATGGCCTTTCTGGCACTTCGATGCGTGTTTCTAGTTGGAATGATAATGATAATGATAATCTAATGAATCTAATGAGCTACACGTCCAAGCAATGCCATCTCAAGCCCAGAGACTCATCGATCTCGATCCACTCCACTCGAACTCGAAAGTCTTCTTTGCCCATCTCTGTCTTGATGGCCCGGACCAGTGCCGGCTGCCGCCCCATCTCGGCATCGCAATTCTTGCCGCCTGCGATGCAAAGGATCAATGCCTTGTTGGTGTTCAAGGTTTGCGCCTTGGTCACAGTGGCCATCACCACTTTGGCTTCCCACTTGGGAATCCATTCTTTTCCGCTTAAGGCATTGACCATGTCTCCCGCCTTTCCAAAGGCCTTCTGGACCTGATGCTGAAGACAAAGTTCAGCGACACGATCATGATAGGTTTCAGGGCAGGAGGCACAAATCACTGCCTCTCCCATTGCAAGTTACTAGCTGGCACACTACGCACAGCCGCAATGTGTAACCGCCAGGTGACTGATTGCCTTGACAGAATATTGGCGGCTGCGGGATGGGGTGTCAGCTTCGTTCAACACACCAGCACGCATTTGGTCCAAGAAAGCGCTGCTTCTCCAACATGTTGAAATATGTTGAAATATGTTCAACAGCATGCGGCCCAGTACAACTCCTCCACAAGCGAGGCTTTCCTACTGGCCTACTTGTTGTACTATGTTGTGCTCTTTGAACCGACTGCTTGCCTTGTATAGACACCGTCTTGGATGGGCCGCCATCACCTGTGCCTCAGTCCAGCGCGGTCCAGAAGTGCTCGGGGCCTCTCAACAAACAGCATCCCTGAAACATAGTGTCTTCAGTCATGTCAACCATGCAGGATCCGCAGTGAAAGGAGTTCGTGTGGTGAGCTGCCTGATCAGTTCTGGTAGGGAATTAGGCACAGGTCTTAGAAGCGGCTAATGCAATGTAATGCAACGTAGCATCCCTCGATCTGCTTGTTTGTCCCTTATCTGTTGCCTTCGTGTGCGGCTATTAGAATGAAGGAATGAAGGATTACAGCAGCCACCAGAGTCTTTGAACAAACTCAGGATGCTGTGAAGGTCACTTGATATCAATCAGCGCCCACTTTCTTTTCTGTTCAGCATGAACCAGGCTCAACATTGAACATGTATAGAACTCCAAAAATGTGTGTATTTCCCTATATCAATATGTGCAAGATTGTACAAGGCTGCCCTCCATGTATTCGGCGCCATGTGGTGGAAGCATGACCCACCACATGTATCGCTTGTTCGTTAGTCCCCTTGCGCTCTGTCGGCTGGGTAGCCAGCTGTAGCCAAGCCTTCCAGGTGGATCCTGGAGAGGCCGTCTCCATGCACTTGCGCTTGGTGAACAGTGAACAGTGCCCTGTATGTGCCCGTTTGTTTTCTCAAATTTAAAAAACGGCTGTTTCTTCAACAACTCTGTATATAGAGATCTGTAGAGCAAGCTTGCAAGCTCCCATGGTCAACCAGTCCAGGAAACATCGACCAGTTGTGACCGACACCGATCCCATCGGCCGCTCCATTGAAGGCTTCAACGGCTGGAGCTCCGGCTCGGGGGCCTTGCGCTCCTTCACCTTCCGCGGTGATTGGGAGAGTGTTGGGTCGCTCTTCGCTTGGTGTTCCAGCGGCTCTTCTGGAGCCTCGTGGAGGATTCATTGTTGATTAGTTTAGTCAGGCGTTTGGCCGCGCTTCTTTTTTTCTCGGTAGAATCTCTCAGTTATTCTGTATAGGGGGAGTAGAAATGACGGGGACTTGGTGACTTGGTGGTGCTTTGTTCTTTGCTCTGTGTGGCAATGGTTGGATAAGTTTCATCAAATCCGGAGTTTCATGGGATGCTTGGGTGGCTTATCCCAGTCGAGAAGTGCTTCATTCCAGTGGCTTCACTTGCAAGCATGTCCCATCCCAATCGTTGGCATTTCAGCACGGTTCTACGTGGTTCTACCCAGCGGCTCCGCTTCGAACACTAAGTTCAAAGGTTCAGTGTGGGGGTTGAGGCTTGAGGGAAACTTTATATTTATATCTTCCCATAGTTTGGGATGACCACTTGGACAGAGCTTTCACAGCACCAAACGGCAATGCAGGTTCAACCCCACAGAAGCTACTATCTATGAAAGTTTTACTGTTGGCCTAGAAGCATTCTTGCTAGTAACAAGAAGCTACTAGGGGCTCCTGGCCATACTACTAGGAGCAAGAAGCTACTAGGAACCCGGGCATCGCTACTAGGAACAAGGACGCTGAGTCAAACATTGAGTGCCCGAACTTGGTGTGGCTCCACCAATGGCATGTCGATATGGAGCAAACCTAGGCATGGCAGTGTGACAGCCTGGCTCCTGAAAGGCTTGTTTTTATCGAACCCACGTCTTTAACTTTTAACCCCTCTTCCAAGCATAATGACCCTGGAGTGATGCTCTTTCCATCAAAATCTATTCCTTTGGGAGATTTAGGAGGTGTTGTAACTGCTGTCTCCATGACCAAAAGGGAGCCCTTTAGCCAAAGTCAAAGGAACCTCACCCACAAATGCACAAAGCCATTCAGTGGCTGGGCAATGAATCTAGTCGTGGCCGACACTCAAACGCAATGACCTGAGAAGTGCAGCTGGGGAACCGTGGACCTTTGCTTGTGAAAGAGCGGCCTGTCAGTGCTCCCACTTTTGATCAAGGCAGCATGCTGGGAAACCCTTTTTTGACTGTTGATGCTCGACCGATTGCCTGCTTTTGGCTTTGTTCGGGCAGTTGTTTGTTGATCTGAGCAAATAGGTTGCTGGGCCAATCCAGTCCTTATGCTCAGCAAACATTCATTTCGGCTTGCGGGCTTGCGATCTGGAAGGACATGGCCATGGAGACATCGGAATTCCACAAGGATAGTCACATAGACCGTGCACCCATAGGCCCATAGCTAGTTCCTCAATCCAAGAATCTGCGGGTACACTACTTTTTCTTGTTTCCTCAGTGGTGGCCACGTCTGCCATCCCTGGGAGGCCCTGCCCGTGGTGCGGGAGCGCTGCACTTTCGATGCATCGGGCTTCACCTGGGGACGGAAGCAGCATGACAAGATTGATGATTACATGATGGTGCATGTTTAAGCCAGTTGATGGTTTATTATATAATTATATATAATTAGTTTATATTATCCGCCGACCCCACACCGTGGGGTGAGGCGTGACTGTCGATGTTAGCCTTAGCCTTAAGCCTTAGCCTTAGACTTAAGCCTTAGCCTTATCCTTAGCCTTAGACCTAGTCCTTAGCCTTAGACCTAGACCTTGCCTCCCCTACCCCTCCGGACCCCTTGTTGCAGTGACGAAATCTGGTTGGAATTCTCCGGGAAAGCGACGTAGATTCTGCCATCCCAATTGATTTACATCTTGGGGCACCCTCTCGACCCGCGCGGGAAAATAAGCACGGTCCAAAATGGTCCTGGGCTCGAATCCCGGGCTGGTCGCGGCATGGTCCCGGCCAATGCCCTTGCTTTTTCGTAGATTTTGTCACGTTTTCTGTTGGTTTATGAGATTTTCAAAGGCTTTTCTGGCATTTTCCTAGGAATGCTCTAGGCTTTGTCTAGATTTTGTTATGTTTTCGGCTGGATGCTTTTCCCCAATTTTCTAGCGCTTCCTCTTGTTTTTAGGTTCCCAGATTTCTGCACAAAATTGGTAACCTTTTGCTAACCTATGGAACTTTCAAAGGCTTTTCTAGCATTTTCCTAGGAATGTCCAGGCTTTGTCTAAGATTTTGTTATGTTTTCGGCTGGATGCTTTTCCAAGAATTTTCTAGCGCTTCCTCTTGTTTTTAGGTTCCCAGATTTCCCCCAAAAATTGGTAACCTTCTGCTAGTTCCCGGCCAATGCCCGTGATTTTTCCTAGGAATACTCTTGGCTGCACTTAGATTTTGTTACGTTTTCGACTAGATGCTAGGAATGCTCTAGGCTTTGTTTATTCGGGAGGGTGCTTTTCCAAAAATTTTCTTGCATGTCCTCTTGACTTAGGTTTCCAGATTTGCACCAAAAATTGTTAACCTTTGGCTATTATGCCAGTGTTCCCGGCCACACACGGGGCCCCTTAGACAACGACAGGATTATCGTGAAAAAACAGAGACAGTCCTCTGTCGTGAAACCCACCTTTGCAGTTTGGCCTGCGAGGGGTCCTCGGCGATAGAGTGTGCCTGGACAGCAGGATATAGACGCGGACTCGTCGGTGAGGAACGCATCATCATCACCACGGGGTTCATGCAAGAGATCACGTATGGTAAATCTGGGAGGTACCCAAAAAGTCGACTTTTTGGGTACCTGCTGTGGTGGTGATGGGTCTCAACTCTTGGGCAATGATATCCTTTATGGGGAGAAGGGTTCAGCATCACGGGGTTCATGCAAGCGATGACGTCCGATGGTAAATCTGGGAGGTAATCAAAAAGTCGACTTTTTGGGTACCTGCTTTGGTGGTGATGGGTTGGGTCACCGGGAGAAACCGATCGATTCAGCACAAGGCCGGGCGCGGAGTCGACTTTTTGGGTACCTGCCTTGGTGGTAATGGGTTGGGTCGCCGGGAGAAACCGATCGATTCAGCACAAGTCCGGGCGCCGATACTTGTGGCACTTTGAATGTACCCTAGACCATGGGCAGCGCCCTGCGGCCCCACAGGCCGCAGAACCCAACGCGTCACGGGGTTCACGCAAGAGCTGACGTCCGATGGTAAATCGGGAGGTACCCAAAAAGTCGACTTTTTGTGTACCTGGTTTGGTGGTTCTGGGTTGGGTCTAAATTCTTGGGCAATAATATCCTTTATGGGGACGAGGGTTCAGCATCACGGGGTTCATGCAAGAGATGACGTCCGATGGTAAACCTGGGAGGTACCCAAAAAGTCGACTTTTGAAAAAACAGAGACAGTCCTCTATCGTGGAACCTTCTTGCGACATTGAATCAATGCACTCACGTCTCATGCGTGAGGCTTGCCTACTTGAACGGTGGCGGCCAGCAACAACAACAGCAGCCGCAGCAGTACCAGCAGCAGTACGACCAGCAGTACCAGCAGCAGTACTCGCAACAGTACCCAGAGCCTTTCACGTTACCACGGGCACTGGCCAGACCTCGTCCAGCACAAAATCTAAACAAAGCCTAGTGCATTCCTAGGAAAATTCCAGGGCATTTGCCGGGAACACTAGAATCAAATAGGTTAACAATACATTAATCAATTTTTGGGGAAATCTGGGAACCTAAACACAAGAGGAAGTCCTAGAAAATTCTACAACAATGGAAGAAAATAGGTTCGCAATTTTCTACGCATACCTGGGAAATCCTACAACTCCCTTTTACAACAAACCCCGGGTGCGGAAAGGTAAAAAAGTAAGGTCTGAGTCTAAGTCTAAGGCTAAGGCTATGGCGAGGCATGGCTAAGGCTAAGGCTCAAGGCTAAGGCTAACATAGAGCAAGAGCTAGCGCTAAGGTTCTATCCCTTGGGGGTCGGCGGCTGCAGGCGGTAGCCTGGTAAATATAGTTTTATACAGTTTTACAACTCACGGTCCACCTACCAGTCATACTAACTTGCACCAATGGCTTCCACCTTTCTAGCTTTTCTCTAGATGGTCCAAGAGTCATCAAATCGGAAGCAGGCTCCGTTGTTAGATTAGTGAATGCTTGGCACACTGCATTTGGTATTAATCCAGTTGCGTCAAAAGCAAAATGCGTCTCGGTTCTAATTGCCCCTGAACTTGTATTGAAGGAGAGGGGAAACACTACATAAAGGATATCTCCTTGGTTTCATTGCCACTGCCATTCACTGGCTACGACTTTCGGGCTTTTCAAGTCGGAAACTGTGGCCAAGTGCTTTACTGGCCTGGCCTCGGCTGACAACTTCAGCTGGGTGACCTTGTCCTTGACAACCTCAGTGTGCTGCATGTGCTTGGGAATGAATAAACTATCTTGAAAAAGATGAACACACACACACACAACTTGAGCACCATTCAAAACAATGAAGGAATTGCTCTCAAGGTGTGCTTGGACAAAACGTTCAAGAGGTCGTACCTCATTCCACCAGGAAAGCCAGGCCGGAGCACCTACCTTAAACTTTAAAGTTTAAAGCGGTATGACAAAACACTGCAGAACATGCATGGTGGAAACCAGGACTGTCTGAAAACAAAAGGCTCATGGATTAGTGTGGGTCATAGGCCCAAGTGGGCAAAGGCATCAGTGTTCATTCCCACATGTATGTTTCGGGAGACCTAGCAAACCATGGCCCTATGACTTTCACTTCTTACTCATTACTGACCAGTAAGTACCATTGCTTGCTCCTGCAATTCACCATTGTCCTGCAAATGGATCTGCTCTGATCACACTCATCAATAAGCCTTCCAAGAGGCTACTCTGACGTAGAGCGGATTCACATCCACGTCCAGGGCAGTTGTGTCCAAGTACCTAGAACTCTTTCTTGAACGCTGGTGGAGATGTCATTGAGAGGTTGTCGACACACCTTCAACATGGCTCAACTTTTCCAGATCAAAAACTACTAGTAGAATGAACGAACTCAAGCCTGTTGACAAAGCTTGTGAAGGCTATCACTGTACATTTGTGCGCTGCACAAGGGAGACACAAAATGCTCAAGCTAGAATCTCATGTGGACCACCGGACTGCCAAACTGTCAAAATACAAGCTTGATCGCAGCTCACCGCACCAGGGGCACTTTGGAACACCCAGCTCAAATACGATCTTGTCTGGATACGTCCAGTCATCAAGATCGAAGTTGTACTTGCCCTCGTTGCCTGGTGCATGTCACAGCAAGTCTCATGGAGGACATGCTGAACTTCACCTCATGAGTCCAAAAGCAACCTTGAGTTCGAAGCCACACTTTTGTGACTGTATTCCACACAACTCGTGGGTGGACTCTGGTGCCCTGATTATGATGCACACTTAGGCCGAGGGTTGGTGACGAATGCTAGCAGGGCGGGGGTGAGCATGGAAATACACACGTCCCAGAGACGTCCCAGGGAGGAGTTGAACCCGCGGGTGGGGTGGGGTGGGGTGGGGGGCCCCCGTACATATGAAGTTTTCACGCGATGCGGCACTCCGGAGGATTCCAGCTCCAGAACAACTCCAGCTAGCTGGTGCTAGCTTGCGTGACGAGACATGCGAATGATGCAAGAAATTGTAAGATCCATGGATCTTGGAAGCTCTGGAACAAAACTACTAGTTTAAGTTTCCCTAAACATCTAGGAACCAAATCATCAGTGCGTGAGGTGTCCTGCGTCCTAGGTAGCAGCTCAAGCAAGCTAGTAGCTACCTCTCTTCTACTAGCTACCTCTTCCTACCTAGCGGCCTACCCCCCAGGCAAAAAAAAACAAAAAAGCTCTGGAAGCTCTCGACGGAGTTCACATCTTCTGGGCTCCAGGCACTGCCGGATCTCTCCTCGAGCGTTGTAGACACCAGGCCTGGCACCGCAGGGGTAGCAAGTGGCACTTGTTTCTAATAGCTTCTTGTTCCTAGTAGCGATGCCAGGAGCCCCTAGTAGCGTCCTTGCTACTAGTAGCGATGCACTTGTTTCTAATAGCTTCTTGTTTCTACTAGTAAGGCACTTGCTACTACTAGCGATGCACTTGTTACTAGTAGCTTCCTACCCCCCGCAAGTGATGATTGAACTTGGGATTAATCCCAAGTGGAATTGCCAGCGAGTGTTCCACAGAACCAAGGGTGAAGTGGCGGGGGCCATTCTGACTTCAGCCATTGGCTCGAAATCATCCATAGACTTCCACAAACAGGATTCTCTATTCGTCAACAGTATGACTCAGTATCAGTATGACTGACTACTTGTCAAGTGTACTCACCGACTGGTTCTCGGCATTCTGAACTTGCATTGCATCAGGTGAAACAATCCTATCCAAACTTCCTTCCACTGATCGGTTGCAGGATGACAACGGTCGATAAAGTGCATTGACCACTCGGCACCATGATACACAGCCCCAAATCTTCTTGTAACCCTGCATTAATTGGACAAATTCTGACAGATTGGAGGGTTTCAGTGCATTCGTTGGGGAATTCGTTGGGGAGGTGAATATAAACTCGATGTGGGACAACCACCCAAGCTAGCAGTCCATCTACAAAGTCACAAGAAGTGGGTCGACCTCGGTGAAACTTCCGTGAACCACCCAGGTCAGGATCTGGGATTGGTTTTCAAAACCAATGCTGCTGGGCAAGCTGCCACCCACCGGGGCTCCCTGCACCGTGCGAAGCTCTTTTGGCTCCATGCCTCGCTTGCTTCTTGCGTTGCGGACTCTAGGGGCAGCTGCCCTTGCTCCTAGTAACTTCTTGTTACTAGTAGTAAGGCCAGGAGCTACTAGTAGCGTCTTTGCTCCTAGTAGCGATTCCCTTTGTTACTAGTAGCTTCTTTTGTTTTCTTCTTGAAGCATCCACATTGACAATCCATTAATCCTGCAACACATCTATGGCACCCCACGCGGTCAAGTTTCCTCCCTCCAAAGTTTGATCATGTTTCAATTTGCAAGTGGGTGGTAATTGACCATCCCACACTGGCCACGTGAAATGGACTTCCTAATTCGACCGTGGTTTATCCACATAATAGATGTGGCAAGACAGACCTGCTGAGAAGTCCTGAAGTATCTGCATTTGTGCATCACAAAGTCTTGGCAGCTCTATGTAAGTTGACGGATCTCGCAGTAAACAGTAAACATTGAAAGGGTAGCTTTTGGAGGGCTCAGGGGGAGTGCTCTTGAGGTCACTACATCAAGATAGGCTCCAAAAGAATCCAAAAGAAACATTGTGGGATGCCCTATTCAACCCTATCCTGTACCCAACCCATCAATCTGTGTTTTTATTCTTCTTTTGTCGTCGTCGTCGGTCGTCGTCGTCATCATCTCCTTCATCATCTTCATCATCATCACCTCCTCCCCCTCCTCCTTCTATAAAGGAACGGGAGGATTAAATTCCGGCACATCCAGGTCACGCCACGTCGGGAGCTCAACACCCAGGTCCCAAACCCATCCGCCGCTTCTCATTTCGCTCCTGCTCCGTGCAAGGACGAACCCAAGCGACAGCACTACAATCGTGTCCTTCATGAACTTTGCCCAGACCCAAGGTCCCAAGGGTAACCAACAATATTTGGGATTTCACTTCAACTGGTTTACTGCTTGTTGATGGTAATCATCCATACACCAAACCTCATCCTGTCGCCTGTCGCCATAAATGCTGCCTGCAATCAACATGGACTCTGAAAATAAACCCTTGCAAGTTCTTGTCCTTCGTGAACCAGTTGTTTTTGGCGCATTCGTCTCCACAATACCTCCACTTGCTGCCTTCTCCGCCTTTTGCTCCGCCAGCTCCAAGTACATCTCGTTCCTGCTTTCCTGTCCCCAACGGGTGGTAATAATAAAGCACGTCGATTTGCCAACGAGATCGACCTTGCCTTGCTCATTATGATGATAGCGATACTTACATCAATGAATTGGTATATCATGGTATATCTACAGGAAACCCTTGCTTTCACTCCCAAAACTATAGGTTCCTGTAGATTTTCCCTTATACCAATTCGTGTAATACAAAAAATATGCACGCTACTACAAATAGACCTTAGCAATGCTCTTGGACGTAAAGGCCTTGCTTTCCATTAATTGGGGGTATCCTTTTTGCTCTGGCCATGCGGTCCAGTTCCTTTTCCCTTTCAGCAGCTTTCCACTTCACCGCTACAAAACGCCGTATCAGCTGTACCTTGACTTTCTATTCCTGTACAGAATCACGAGCCATCCAAAGCTTACAAGTTTGTTATCGCTTGCAGCTTCATGTGCTTTCCCTGCACCACCAGACCGGTCCTTGGTGTAGGCACCTTCTGAGACAGGCTCTCCAGCTGCGGCCAGCCGCTTTCTGCGGGCCTCCTAAAAGGCGCTTGGGGTGTCCGAACTGGGCCTCTTCATCTCTTGATTCGCGGGGGTGCTGATGCTCTTAGGTTGGAGGCCATCGCTATTAAACACGATGCTCGCGGTTGAATTGATATGCTTGTGGCTCTCTGCGGGTAGTAGTTGGAATTCAGGGCTAGATAAGAGGTCTGTGATGGTTTTGGTTGGGGGCTAGATACTTTTGCCTTTAAGGGGCATCCTTTCAAAACCTCCCCGTTTGGCTCCGTCGGACACACCTTCTGCTTGATGCCTCTTGAGGTTATGACGTATGAGGTGAGGTGTAGAGGTGTAGTGTAGCTTACCTCCCCCTGATGAAGCTGACAATGCATCCCATGACCAGTGATTAGGGGTTGGATGCCATCGCGTGGGGATGCTACAGAGCCAACTTTTGGCTAGATCGTTGCCGCCGGGCCAATTGTCCCGAAGCCAAACGTAAGGCCTCGATGGCCACTTCTAGGTCTTGCTGGAGCCTGCTGGAGACGTGAAGGGAGTGTGCGTGTCAACTCTCCAGGTTTGCTGTAGTAGGATGGAGTCGGGTTGGTACCTTTTGTTTAAAACATGACTTTCGAAACCCAGTCCCAAGCTCAAACCTTAGGATCCAGATCTGGCCAAACACATCACCATTATACAATTCCGTACTGTTTGACCAACTAAAGCCGCAGGCAGATCCCCAGCCCCCAGCTGAACAGCCAACAAAAACTGCACTGCACAGCAGCACTGCTTGGCACGAGTGGATGCATCAAGCATGGCCAAAAGTAGCGAAGCGACTCCCCCTACAGGCCAACTGCGGGGTAACTGGGTAACTACCCACGTGATGCACGTGGTGAACACCGCAAAGGGTGGTCTACTGCCCGTGACCGCCGGCGACTCCAAGCCTTGGCAGTTGCTGCCGTGCTTTGATCCGTTCACGTGGCAGCACCTGCGAAGTCGAGCGGAGTCTCCCCGGGCATCTTGGGACACAAAGGAAGACTTACGGAAGCTCTGCCGGGTATGAGCTACTGAGCTACGAGACACGCAGGTTGAGAGAATAATTACAATGCTTCTTTCCCAAGTCAATCACCTTTGACACTTTAGCTTTGGGCTTTCGTTATTCTGGTTCCCTCAACCGAGATTCAACACCCGCAGTTTTCATGCTCTCTGGTTGTGCCTTTGGTCACATCCCCTGTCCCCTCATCACGCAATATCTTGCACCAACACTGACTGCTTCCAAAATTTCCAAATGAGCGCCCTGTGCGTCCGAGGATTCGACTAATTTGGCATCCAACTGCTTCAACTGGGGCCTGACAGTCAATGCAGCTCTACTCCCAACGTGAGTACTTGGTCGATATGCCGATTCACCGAACTGCATGGTAAACTTTTTGCTACTGTCTTCACAGTGATTTCAAAACCAATTATATAGGACCAATTAGCTCGATGCAGCAAATCGTTCAAGGTTTCAGATCTGGTCAGATCTGGGCCCCATCCTCAAAACATAGACTTAAACCTTCTTACTTCAAAGCTCCAATTCCTTTGAGGCTCCAGCAAATGTGCAATCACATAGGCCCTGCAGCCGGACCAATCCACACCTCACTGCACAAAGCGTGTTGCTTCACTTAGGTGCGCAGCCTGACTGGGGGACCCTGCAGGGATTGCCAGTGAGGTACAGGTCCTCCAGCATCATGTTGGCCTTCAAGTTGTAAACACCTCGGCCGCAAGTGACTTATACAAAGAATCTTGAAGTGTGAATATGGATGAACGTAGTGAATCCTGAACATAGTTGAACATGGTGAGTATATCCCAGTTGCACGCTCCGAAACATGGCTGAGATGAGAGCTTTCTTCCAATTCCTCCACCGACACAAAATTCACGGTGAGGTCCAGCCTGGGTCCCACTCAAACGATTCTGGGAGATGATATAATATAAGATTGCATGAACTCACTGGCAATGCCACGCACTTGCAGCTGTCCTTTATGGTAGATCTTGTCAAATCTAACCTTTGAGGGAGTCGTTGGAAAAGGCCAACATCCTTGCCAGAGTTCCCAGAAAGTCACCAACATGCTGAAGATGATCTGAAATGCACGTGATCTTTCTCAAGGCTCCGGCTTCCTTAAGGACTCACATCCTTCTATCCCCTCGATCTTGGAGATATTGTTCAACGCCTGAAGTGGCGTCTCTGGAAAGCCTGTTTTGTTTTGCACATACCTTTTGTTGGTGTAACTTGCACGACAAAGTCGGCACGCCACTGAAACATAGCTTTTCCATCTATGTATTCACTCTAATACTCTGCTACCAATATCTACCATTCGTGTATATACAGTGCATGAAACTGGGAAGACTCGCCTGCGACAATATCTTTGCCGAGTACCACGCCAGATTCAAGTATTCCAGCTCCTTCAACTTATTCAAACCTGGACTGCTGAATGCAGGAACAAACTAGCCAATTATTACCATTAGGTTCAAAGGACTCAAAGTCCAAATAGATTGTTCGATCTATATGTGTGTGTTTGTCCGCATGTTTTTACTATACATCATTCTAAGACCTCTGCATCCCGTACAGTTGAGCTACGCCTTTGAACAACCCCCTATTGCTTTGCTTTGATGGACCAGGTCCTCCCAAGCTGCTCGTTCCTCTCAAATTAAACATGAGCAAACGATGAGGCGGAAATTGATGGTTGTCCAATTCGTGGACCACACACCAGCACTGCCCGTATGTGACTTGCTCCGTGGCCTTCCATCTTGGGAATGATGTTGTTCTGAAGGAGCAGGATCCTCAACACTCAATGGTGAATCGAAGAATGAGAATGAGCCTTCATCATCTCTGGCCATCTGCACCAATTGGAGAAACAAACGGGTGTGATGTGTGATCGTTTGATAACGCCAGCACTATGACAAGAGCTACACACGAGAGTTCATGTAGACAATTGCTTGTTTGTTGGCTTTACGTGTGCCTGTTTATGGTGAGCCAAGGGGAGGCGGTGAGCAGGAAGATGCAAGGCAAGTAGAACACGCTGTTGGATCTTGGGTAGAATGATTCCACCTTTCAGTCTACCCTGACTTCATCCTACTTGCTGTACTTGGCCATCTTCTTGGCGTGTGTGTCCAGCAAATGTCCATCAAAGAACTGTGCAACCCTGTCAGGCCAAACTACCGACCATGTGGCAACCCAGGCTGGCAGCAGCTTCATTCCAAGTGGCTTGATATGTCGACAGCAAGCCTCGATGCTCTCGATCTTCTCAATCTCCTTTCCACAAGCAAACACAAAAGCTTAACCGTGTGGCTTATCGGCAAGCTCAAAACTTGGAGGGCAATTGTCCCAGTGTTGTCACAAGAAACATTAAGACTGGAACTATCTGAGTTTCAGCTTTTCCAAACATGTCATCCATGGCCCCAGTGACTGTGCAACAGGTTCTCAATAACGTTTCAGTGAATGGCAGAAAGAACTCTGGAAGTTGAGGGTATGACCTTCCCATCTTGCTTGCTGTGGGCTCAATCCAATCCAACCAGTATCAGAACCTGAATCCACTTGCACATGCTGATTCTGGGTCCAATCTGCTTCCCAGGTGCTGCAAAGGGCTTTTGAACTCAAACCTATGACCCTAGGTATCTATGCATGCAATGTATGGTTGTATGTCAAGTAGGGCTTGAAGTTGATTTGTGCCCTCTAACAGCTTTGGGAAGAGGCGTGCAAGAACCCTTCTTGTTGCCTCCAGAGTTTGTCCAAAGTCCAAAGCACCTGTCGGACCTGTCGCCAGTCCTGCTGATGCAAGGCGATCTCTTCGAGGTCGGACAAGACGCCCTCATTGTGCTCAGCGCCTCAGTCAGATCCCGCCCACGGAGCATGGGAGTCGCGCTGTTCTGGCTTCTGTCCTCTATCCAAAGCACTTTTGCCCTCGGAACGTGCGCAAAAGCTCTTCAAACTTGCTTCTTCTTCTTCTTCTATCAAGTCCCAAAAAAGTGTTTCGGGTTTAGAGGCTCAGTCCATCTCAGTCCGCTCCAGCACCAACTCTCGCCCTTTAACTTCATTCAAAGTCGTGACGAACTTTCCGAGAAACGCTTTCGGATCAACTCCTCTGTAAGCTGCGGCATGGCACGCGGATGCAGTCGGTGTGTGTCAAAAATGTAATGCGTTGACAGTCTGGCTGCTCCTTGTCACACCCGAACATGTAGTTATGATGCGCCAAAGCGCTGGAAGAACCCGTCTGAGATTTGTGACTTGAACAGTTTAATTGTACAACTGTCGTGCGCAGCTGTTCTGAATCTTGAATCATGGCCTTTATTCGTTGTTAAGGGATGTTCAGGGCAGGCTAGAACGGTTTTTCTGTGCAATTATCGATGAGCCGTCTTTCAAGGGCACTAGCTGGCCGGGGCTGTCAGCTCTTGAGGATGAGATTTCATGACTTCATCTGCATCTTGGGCAGTCAAAGCTGCATAGAATCAGCACTATGTCGGAGAACTTTCAAGTGAAAGACATTCCCAAAACATTTCAACCGGAACGGTGCACTCTCTCTCTCTCTCTCCCTCCAAATATCCCACAATACTGTTATGCGTCCATGACTGCGTCCATGCACATCCACTGGCCTATCAAGCCCTTCAAGGATCAAAAGGAGCTTAGGAGTTCGGTGCCCCAAAACGTGACTGACTCGTCTTTTGCCGCAAGCTGGGACGGAGAGCGTGGTTCACGACTGTACAATCCAGTCTCCAGTCGAAGATTGCAGGTCTTTCTTGCGAAAACTTGCCACCGGGTGTGGCCACAGGCGGCATCTCAGGCTCACCAGCAATAACCCTTCCGCTTACAGCGAGCGGAAGTCCGTGGGATCACCACAACTATTGGCAGTTTGGCAGTCTTTTTCCCTCAATGAACAAAGCGGCACTATATAGCAGCTGCAAATATAAAGCCGCTTGCCTAGCTTGACTCATGCCTCAGCTTTTGATGGCATAAACTCAGAGCTCTCACGCGTCATCTCTACGATAACCTCCTTGGCATCCTCACGGCACAAAGTGCATTGAAGTGGAACACTGGGGAGGGCGTAATGGCCGGTGATGTGCGGTACGAGTACTTGTTCTTCTGGTTGTTCGTTGTAGAGAAGATTTGAGAAGATTGGATAATGACATCTTTTGAATCCAGAAGGGCTTCCTGGACTTTTTGGTCTACGTCCCTGACCAGGCGTAGCGATCCGCCAACTCTGTTGTGATTTACACCAGTCGAGCTAAAACACATGGCTTGATGGATCTTCTTAGATCCCCAACCCCAGCAACGCTACTCCTTGCGAGTCTCCAACTTTCGTGCGAAAGGCAGGCGGAGCTTAAACTGCTGCATCTGGTCCGCAGCCTCACTGGTGCAACACCCCGCTGTGGAGCTTCTGCCCCGAGTAATTGGCTTTTGATTTTGGTTTCTGGTGGGTCTAGATCAACACCAATGGAGTTCTCAAAGTCTTGTTGCACCAACTGGATGCGAACAACAAAGAATTGCGCGTTATAAGTGAAACAGCTTATTCCCACCAACACAGTTAAGATCAATTAAGAAGGCGGGAATGATTGATGACCAGGCGGGCCACAAGCCTCACAGTAGGTTCCCCCAACCATCAAACAGCAGCCCAGTAGCAGCCTTCTTGCCGACTCTACACAAAGTCCAGTCTATAAGACTCCAGGACTACTCTATTGTTGTTGTAGAGCCAACTTTATTTACAATTAATTACACTATATACTATTTTCATCCACATGAAGCCTCCTATTAGGTTGGAGGCCATCGCTATTATTAGCTTGGAGGATTTCTATTGAGCGACTTTAGATGTGCCCTGCCTTCGGCTTTCGTGAGACCTTCACGTGCATGCCCAGACCTGGCTGTTGAGAAAGATTTGCTTGAACTGGTGCCTCTTTGAACAGTACGGAATGCAACGGATTGATTACGCTACAACATAAACAGCTTCTTTGTACCTATAATATCCTATAATTATATACTACAGTCATCCTCGACCACAGAACGAGTCCTTTTCTTCTATATATTGAGATTTAAGTGTGAACCTGGCCAACATGTTCACCCGTCCAGATTCTATTCATTTTGATATCCGCCCAGCTCACACAATATGCAACACGCAAATATACTATTTGGTGGATTCTAGGTCTCTGAAGTCCAAAGTCCAAACTATTAGCAGTCCTAAGGGCAATCTGAAGCACCAACGGTCTATCACGCAAGTCAACAAGGAGCCTTTGCTCACTTCGAGCAGCTTAGCACAACAAATCAAAGTGGGTACGCCTCACGCCTCAGGTTCTCACTGTCCATTTGCTCCTAAACCGTCCTCATGTCCCCATTCAGTCTCCTTGTCCAACTCAAGCCACCCGTTAGGGGCTCAAAAAAATATAGATGTTCAAGCACACGCGTGTTGATTAGACCAACCGAATTCCTTCAGTAAATCACCAAGTGTACATATGCCAGGATTTTGGAGCATGTTCATGCACCACCCTTTTGCACTGATATGTTGCTTTAGAAACAATCAAAATGGGGTGAGAGAAGGGCCATGCTACCGGAGGTGTTGGCAACAAACACGTCGCTTGGGTTCACAGGGCATCCTATCTGCTACACTTTGGGTTCCGCATTTTGCCGTCTAAGGTCAGCCAAGAGGGTCATGGGCTTCGGCCTCAGGTGAGATGAGGTGTAGAATGCACATCGATTCTATCAAGTTCTCTAAACACCTAACTTAACTACTGTATATATATATATATACACATCACCATTCAACCTCGATGTCTCTTGACATGTTTTGTCTGGTGGAGCCAAAACGTCACCGTCGAACTGAGCTCCCCTGGCTATCCATGGAGGTAATCTCCGCATCCTCCACCTCGATTCCAATGAACTTCCTGGCTCAAAACTGCAACTTGGGAATGCCGGCCTTCAGCAAGAGCCACTATTCCTTCACCGGTGGGTAAACATTCATAAACATGGTGAAACATCAGATCTCGCCCCTATCCCAACAACGGCTTCCGTGTGTTTTGACTTGACTTTATCGGGTCTCACCTGATCATGGCAATGGTGGCCTCCCGATGGTCGTCGTTCATGTGACTCAGGGGCACAGGGCCGATGGATGTCGTCTCAGCGTTGTTAGTAAAAAGACCACGAGTTCATAAGATGAACAGTGCAAATGTGACGTGGTGATTACCTTGAGTATGAAGTCAAAAAGCAGCCCATTTTCCACAAAACCAATACCTTGATCATCCTTTATCCGCCTATATAACCACCCAAAAACTTTTGCTCAAATCCACTCAGGTGCTGACCCGGCCACTGCAGGCCCAAAGCCAGCGATGGGGTCAGGTGCAGCTGAGGCATAGGCCTCACAGTCCCACACCGTTTGAGGATTCTCACACCGTTGTGTGAGCAGCATTTATGACCATCAATTTGATGTGCAGGCACCGGAACCACCCATTGAAGATCTTACTCGCATTTGACTCGAGATGACACAAATTATTTCCATTCTGCATGATGGTGGTGCATGGACCTTGTTGGCCACTTCACATGCCATCACCTGCCACCTCTCTGCGCCGCCTCAGCAGTCACCGTCCCTGCCCGTGCGAAGCCGCCCACAAAGCGGACGTTCTGCACCTCTCATTGTCAAGTTCAGTGCAGAATTGAGGGCAGTGATTTTGGGCAGGATTGATCTTGGGACGGTTCCTTGTGAAGAATTCTTCTACCAGAAAACTGAGCATGAGCGTGGTGGTGCGACTTAGGTCATGTATGGTCATGTCAAAAAGAGATAAAAGAGGAAGCCATGTGAAACTCTTGCTGTTGCTCAAGAAGTGAATGTGACTGTCTGGTATTCGAAGCCTCAAGCAACCTCGAGGCATCCCCTCAACGACCCGTCAGTCCTCCATGCGATACCAGGTAAAGTCGCCAAACTCGACCCAGAAAGCCTGCCCGTTGCAACAACTGACATGAGGCTGTCCAGCTGGTGCAAACGGGGTGCAACGACCAAAGGAACAAAAACCGCAAAACCTTGCCAATCAGCTAATCAACCCCTTATGTTCAGCTGAATGGAATCTATTCTTGAACCTCAAAATAGTAGTCAGAATCTCACTCTGTCGGCAACGTTTGTAAATACTGACTTAATACTCACCATGAAGAGATATATTTTATATATTTTACTTTTTGATAAAATTACCCCTTTGTCCAATAATACTTCCAATAATATATCATAAGCTTGGTATGCATTCAGAAAGGTGAAGTACAGTAGGGTTGGGTGGGCATCAGAATAGAGTAGGGTAGGCAGCGGCGCGATTTAGTGCTGGCTATATATATATATACTGTAGTGCTTGCGTAGTTGGAGGGTCCGTAGGATAAAACAAACCATACAGTAACAAGCTCTTAAGCACCCGAGCTATTTGATGGAAAACGCAAATTTTGATACGAATATGTACACAAGTCCGTATCATTAGCATCAAGCAATTGAATTGACAAATGAAAGTGGAGATAGACTCGACAATGAGAAGTGGACAACTTTATGACGCATTTGCTTAACTTCTGACCACCTTCCTCATGACTTCTATCAATGACAAACCTACAGTTTCTGCACCACATCCTGATCCCTGAATTGAAAAAACATGACGCAGACATCGGATGCTACTCCTACTCTCCCTCCTCATCACGCACCGACGCACCTGTTTGAACCTATTTCTTGGTCCTTCTAACGTTTTTTCTCTTGTGTTTCCGCCTTGAAGCGGAGGACCCGGCATTTTCCTACTCTCCTTCGCTACAGCTCTAAGCATCGATGTAAGACAAGAAAGGATCTATCGTCTAGCGCAGTAGGTAAATCCTAGCTAAGCAATATCTTGCACTCAAATTTAGAGGAGATACAAAAAGGAGATACACACACAGGCAGTTTGGTTTTATCTTGTCATGTTATATAACCTTATTCTAATCGTGTATCTACCTCTACTATTAGGAACAAGTACTTTGATCATCATGTTTTTTGGTAATGTTGTTATCTTTAAAGCTCTGAATGCCAGGAAACCTGGGGACTTGAGGAGTTTAGAAGGCTTAGTTTTCATACTTTATAATAGTATTCTGCAAACCATAAAGAACCGAACACAAAAATGTATCAAGTTTCTTGCAGTTTTTTTTTATTAGGTGTTCCTCTCAGCTGTCCCGCCCGGGGCAAGTGCTGGCCTTGGGGTGCTTCGCCAGGTAAAGCCTTGGTGTCTGTGTGTGTTGGGTAAAAAAGGGCCTCTGTTGAGAACTTGGACTCTTCACCACTATATGCGAGAACAGGATGCTGAAGTGATAGGAATTACCTCAGGAATCCGGATGGATAGAGTTTGTCCTTCAGCCAATGTCCTTCAGCAAACGATGTACCTTTTAAACACAAACACTCAATAGGAATCGTCGCACTTTTATGTATACCTGAGGCATCCTGAGACACCTGAGCTCTTTGAATCAGTCATATAGCAAACCAGTACAATTGGTACGCGATCACTTGAGTGGTGTTCGCTCGCCGTACAAGACCCCCTACAACTAAGTATCTAATATTACATATAACAGTCAACATACACCACTCAAAGAGTACAACTCAGCTTTGACCAATTCGACTGACCATTAACTAGCTCGCTCACCAACTCTACCAGTAGCGCTGATAGGAACAAACAAAGGAACAACATCTTTTGTAGCCCGCGTTCACAGTTCTCGTCAAACATGTGATGGTGTTTCAATCGGATATGAACTGCATTAGGCATGTGTGCCCTGGATGCATTTACACCAATGCACCAGGTGTGCCCATCCAATGCATCCATGGGGACCGGCAGCAAAGCAATGGCTCCCACGAGGGGTTCTTGTCGTGGACTTGGAAAAAGGAACCAATCGCGATCCCAAAACAAAAAGTATTGGCAATGGATTCTGTTGATGATTCACCCTTACCAGCAAATGTTGGCAATAAACTGTCGGGGTCTCCTTGCTTTTGACAACACACCCGGATGGTTTGGAATCCGGTCACTTCTGCTGAGGTTCTTCTTCGCTTCGGCGATCTCCTCTTCTGACTCCAGTGGCACCGCCTCCCCAAGCAGGTTCACACGCCCATCTGCGGCGCCCTGGTGCACGAGGAGTGCTCTCCCGCATCCCAAGAACCTGGACCCCTTCTTTGTTGAGTCCCTTGTCTGGCTTTTCATGGAAAAGACATGAAAAAACAAAGGACATAAGGACACCTTGGGAAGTCTGGGGAATATGACCAACAAAACCGCAAAACCTACGACTTAATCTTCATGTGCCCCAGCCGTGACTTGGAGAATTGGGTTCTCAAAAGAACACGCGCCGCTCTGCGGGGTGACGGTCGTTTCATGTCATTTCGAGTTCCACGAGCATGGGCAACTCTCGGTAGTTGTTCCTAACAGCTCCATGCAGCGTTCCAACAGCGTCACCTATTGGCAAACGGAACGCCCAAAGAAAAACCACTCGCCTTGAACTCCTTCGAGGCCACTGTCAATGAACAGCGTTGGTCCTTGATCAAGTCCTGGCGTCTTGGATCGAATCGAGCGCAGGTAGCAACAAGACGGAAAGGTGTCAATAAGGGGGCTTGATGTTTCTTTCCAACAAGGGGCTTTGAGGCCAAATAGATAACCTATACTGAGACAGTACCCAAAACATATGCAAAACAAGTACATGGCCGTTGATTTGAGAGGAAACTGCAGGAAACAAAGCAAACAGGTAGTCCATGGTAGTCCTGAAACTAGAAAAATGGGAGTCCTGTTCGGAGATCACAGACAGAATCTACGTCAGTATAAAACTCCCACGCCCGAACCACTGGAAACCCATGGAAAAACTTACATGAAGCTGGAGGGCATTTCAGGAGAAAAAAGCATTGACTTGCAGGGCAAGCCACCCCTATCAAGCCAACACATGTTGTCCCCTGGAGGGTTTTCAGGAACGCACAATTTCGATATATTTCGACAGTCACCATACTCGCGAACGCAACTCTGATCCTGAAGTTCCTTTCCTTTTCTGCTTACTCCTCTCAAACCCAAGTCCGATGGACAAGCTCTTTCCAATTTAATAATCTGAGTCCTTCATATCGACTCCCCAACTCACCAGAATAGAACTATATACATCAAGTCACACAAGTCTCGAGATCACTGTCATCCCCTTTGCTAGCCCCAGTACTTACGTGTACTGCTGGTGGTCTTCGAGCTGCGAGCTGAGTCCTGTGTGTGGCTGGACATCGAGCTGAAGGAGAAGAGTGGTCGCCCCACGTCGTCCACTGCGAAGCCCACCACCGAGCCACCAGGGTAGCCCGGCATCGAGGCACCTCCAGCCGGTGACGTGTTCTGCAATGGGGGTTTGGGTAGACTTTTGAACCAAGTTTTCCTCTGCTGCACCCTGGGAGTTTTGGTTGTTCATTCCATTGAACAAAGTGATTTGTGTGTTTTTCTGGGCACACTCAGCTATTTCACGCAAATGTGCATGTTTTGAATGTTTGTATATGGTGTCAGTGCTGATCTTGCTACGAGACTAGATCCGACAGCAGCCTAGGACATCTAGGACTAACACCGACACCTGCAGCAACCTCAAACATCATCACTACCACATTTGTACAGCTCGGATTGGACACAGTCCAAGAACAACTGATAAAATCCCTCCTCTCTTTGAGTCCGTGGCACACATGTTTCTCGAATAACGCGATTGGTGTGGTCATCCTGTCTTGCTCAGAACAAAAACCACACCAGGCGACAAAAGAAGCCCTGCAAACGAGTTGCTGTTCGTGCTCATGACTGCGAAGCCGTGGTTGTACTGCACCTGAGTCTCAATAGTCTTTCAAACAGAATAATCACTTTGAAGATCATTGAAGACTGTCCAACCTACTCACATCTTGCTTCGACACCAAACCACTCGGAGAACTTGTTGAAGGAATCAGAATAGCCCTCCCCCTGCACTAGGGACCAGTAGCTCTCATCAGCTTTTTGAATTTACCACGAGAAGACTAATAAGGAGAAAAACCCACCCTGATGCCAGATTCAGGTCGACAATCTTTGGGGACGTTATCAAGGTGCCAAACTAACTGTTTTTGGAGAATCGCCAAGCTGCCAATGGAACAAAAAGCTACTAGGTCGAGGCCATCGCTATTGGGCTGGAGGCCATTACTACTAGTAACAAGAAGCTACTAGGGGCTCCTGGCCTTACTACTAGGAGCAAGGACGCTGGTAGGGGCTCCTAGCATCGCTACTAGGAGCATTCTTACTACTAGTAACAAGAAGCTACTAGGGGCTCCTGGCCGGAGCAAGGACGCTGCTAGGGGCTCCTGGCATCGCTACTAGGAGCATTCTTACTACTAGTAACAAGAAGCTGCTAGGGGCTCCTGGCCTTACTACTAGGAGCAAGGACGCTGCTAGGGGCTCCTGGCATCGCTACTAGGAGCATTCTCACTACTAGTAGCAAGAAGCTGCTAGGGGCTCCTGGCCTTACTACTAGGAGCAAGGACACTGCTAGGGGCTCCTGGCATCGCTACAAGGAGAATTCTTACTACAGTAACAAGTGGAATGAAGCTTGATTCGGTTGATATCGCCAAGCTGCCAAGCTTCGAACCTCTGTCGCCGCGTCCAGCTTCGGGGCGGCCTCTTGGTGTGCGCGGACACGATCCTGCAAGGCCATCTCCTCGACGTTCAGAAATCGCATTTGATGGATGAGTTGGTCCAAATCAACAACGGGTAGCTCGCAGGTGGAGGGGTGCTAAGACTCAAAAATGTTATAGTTAGTTATGTAGAATATATAACTATATATATAGTAGTTAGTTTCATGCTAATTGTTAAAAACATGTAAAACATGTAAAACACATGTGGCTTCTGCTTCTGCATGTATCTGTCGGGCCGAGTTCGTCAACAAATAAAGAAGCAAGGGCATACTGAAGATCGTTGTTCGGGCCTTGTGGCACCATGTGGTTGTGGTGGACTCATCTTACTGGCCTCTGTTCTTTTTATAAGACTTGAAGACTACGCTGATGCTGTCAGCAAGGCGCGTCAGTGCGCAAGGATCGCAAGGCATGGGAGTGGTGACCTACTGTTGGGTTCCGACACAGGGAATATCTAATTTTATCACTGGTATGGAGAGAAGTTAAGCACACCACAGTGTGTATATATATATATATGTGTATAACATAGGGTCCGTTCAGGCTTGCTTTGCGGTTCTTGAATTCTTGGGAAATGGAGGGGATTCCAGTCTTCCCACCACTACATACGACTTGGAAAAAAGACACAAAGACTCTGGGCCACAAGAGGAAAACACCCACCATCTAGGGCAATGGATCCATCTGTGGCTCCTCTGGATCCATCTTGAAGTTTCCAGCATTTTTCACTTGGTGACCTCAGCTGGTTTCGGAGACTCCAGAGGTGGCAAAACAGGCCATGGTCGACATCGTGTCAGGGTTAAACATCGAGAGGAGACCGTGGAAAGGAAACGAAGCTCCAAAAACGAGCTCTTCATCGTCTCAGCCAAACCAACATCTTACACTCTCTCCTTGAGGTGAAGATTGCGACAGTTGTTTGAAAGACTCTGGAGTTTAAAGCAGCCACTTTTTCTTGCCCAAGTCACCACACCGGTGGGAGTATTAGCTTCTTTAGATCTCTTTAGCCAATGCGCAGTCAGTGGGTGAAGATGCCTACAAGTCCCCAAGAAGAATCATGAACCCTGTGTGCATGGCAGCCCCGCTCCCGCCTGTCTGCTTTTCTTCAGCCCGCAGCCATCGGCCACGTGACAGACCTCCAGGTTCGCACCTGGTCGAATCTCAGTGGATCCTGCACTACCAAGGTAGCAACAGCAGGGCACCTTTGGTCACCTTGTTTTGTACTTGACGCCCATTAACAGGAGGGTCGAACTATTCCTCCTTACTTGGTGAGCCGGTCCATCAGTTGTTTCTTGTTTCCAATGACACACTGAAATGACCGCTGAAATGAACCCTCAGAATCACCCTACACCTGTTCTCAGCCAAAATCAGCCAGGCCTGGTCCCAACAAACGCATACAGCGCTGGAGCGAAAGCTAGGCAAAGTAGGAGACCAGCTCGCCGAGCCTCAGAATTGACCGTTGGCTCCGATTCCAGTGGACTGCAATTGTTTCAGGGCGCTCCTGTTCCAGGTCCCAAACCAACTGGGTCAATGGCATACAATGGCTACATCCGCCAATCTGCAACATCCATCTCGAATATCTCTACATACAAGTATGAATATATTAGGCTTTCTGGGAAGTGACAAAGAAGCTGGACGCTTGATTTTCAACCGCCTGACAGCCCGTGCTAAGCTAGACACATTTTGGCGTTTCAACTCCATGTTGGTAGGCTTTCAAGCGCACCGAGGAGGATGTGCTGATGCTGTGACAATGCCGGTTGTTGCAATTTTCGAGGAGTCCAATTCGATCGTAAGAGTGCTCTCTGTGTGTGTGTGTGTGCGCGTGTGCGTGTGCGTGTGCGTTGGTGGGGTGGATATCTTTATGAGTGATGTTGTTATGTTTGCTTTTTGGCATGAGCTGATCGTTCGGAAGCTAGCCCATTCAGCAAGGATATCACGCTCGTTGTCTGTTTCGTTCACGGGACCCGGAACGAGAGAGACATGGATCACCTGAAGTCCACTTTGGTTTTGATGCCTAGACAGTGCCATGACAAATAGCTTTGATCTTCTAATTCAATTAGTGGACTGGTGCAAGCGCATGCAACATCCACGAAGCAGTTCCTTTTCGTCTGCATTGCGCAAACGAAATTTGTGACCCAACGATGCAGTCACATCAGGGTACCGAATTCTTCTTCAACAACAACGACAGCAGCAACACATGAGCCGGTCAAGCCTCTTGCGAACTGAAATATACTGGACAACTTTATCGTCTTTGGATTGATAGACTGCACATGTTGTCCGAGGCATTGGCATGAATAATGCTCTGTACATCATTGGTGTACGGTGCACACAAGCTACTGAGGCGCCAAGGAGCTGCCCCAAAACACTGAGGGTAGACCGGCAAATGTAGACAAAAAAGCGAAATCTTTTCACGTGTTGAAACAGCACATGGATGCGGCTCAAAAGAAAAACAAACTCAGTGACCCCCAACCCGCAACTGTTGCCCTGTCCTGGCCATACACAGTATACAATGCACACAAGATTCATCCGTTCATCTGAGTGCCCTCTTCTTGACCACATGACGTGTTGGGTGACTGCAGCATATTCACCTAGATCATCCGTTCGATCCAATGATTCCAATGACCTCGGACACCCTTTGGGGTGAAACATCGCTCGCTTTCCTCGCTTTGCGAGGCGATTGGTCCATGCAGTCTACTCCACTGTAAGTGTCAGAGTACAAAGTAGTTCCAAGTCACTCTTTTGCACATGGAATCCATGAACCATAGATCTCCTCAAAAGTCATGAGAACGTCGAGACGGTCTCATGGTGAAGTTCATCTGCGTCATGTTGCTCGCTTTCAGCGAGGGCAAGGACACGCACTTCACCAGCTGTTCCGTCTTGGACGGATCCTCCCGTTTCATCCGCACCGTCGCCTTGGTGTTGGTGGCCAATGGCATCGTCACCAGGTTCCATGAAGGGCTCATCGGCGAGGTGACGTCACCATCTGGGCCGCTGAGGCGGATGGTAAAACACAATGCAAGAAGCTACTAGTAGCTATTTGCCGCTAGTAGTAATGGCCTCCAACCTACTAGCTATGTGGCTTTTGGGGGTGTTCGCGTTGGCTTGTTTCTGCTGGGTCCGCTGGGTCAGTTTTCTCATGTTTTCTCAAGTCTTTGTAGGTCAAGCAGCTGCCGCTCGCTGCGGTGTTGCGGGCGTCCCGGAGCACCAATGATTGCTGATGATCGGGAAGCTCCTGGCATGCTGTCAATCAGTGATCTTGGCTTGGCTGATGTTTCAGCAGATGGGTGCCATGGTGGGCTCACAGGGAAAAATGGTGGGGTTGCCCGGTCTTTCAGCTGTTCAAGGACCAGTATCCAATCTCTAGCTAGTGAGATTCAAGGAAAATCAGAAAGGCTTCTACAAACTGGGCACAAAGAGAAGGAACAAAAGAAGGTAAGGGTCCCTTCAATACGCTTTCACTAAAGCAGTGCTTACCATCTTTTTTGTATAATTACACTCTGTTTCGCCTTCTTTGTTTAGCATGGGTATGCCAGAGTTACACCATGTTGTACCCCACAACTGGACAGCATTCGCAGTCGGGCCATTGCTCAGCAAGTTCATTTGGCCTCAACTGCCCAATCAATTATTGGAAAGAACATCGCAAATGACAGGTGTCCATAATGACATTCCATTCTTAGATTGATTTTCAGGACAAAGGACACGTTTCGGAAAGCCATCAACCAATCATGCTCGCACCTGCTCCACTTCGTTCAGGTCCACGGCAACGAGCACCTCATGAATGGCAAGTCTGGAGTGTCGGGTGCACTCCATGTCCGCATGTTCTAGCATTTCTCGGTGCTCCTCACGCGTCAATCCCTGATCAAACAGTATGGATGGAACCACGATGAACCACGGTTCCAAGCCAAACCAACGCCCCCAAACCCACAGGTTCACAGATTCCTTGAGCCTCCTTGAGCCGCATGTGTTCAAATAATTGGAGTCTTACGATGTACGAACCCTGTAGGACAGCGAATCTGGAATCCTCATGTTCTCCTTGTCGCTCTCGGCGTTTCCATTCTTCGGATCTTCGGAGCTCCCGTTCACCACCGTCCGCCCTGTTCGCGTCCATTCCCAGCATCGCCCCCCTCACCGAGAGACTCCATCTTGTGGATCTTGAAGCTGCTCCAAGGAACAGAACCTTCGTGGGGCGTGACGGAGGTGGCAGCGAGAGGGCCCTGCTACCCCTCACGCCGGTGCTATTTAGATACGCAGTTGTGGGCCCTGCAGTTGGAGAGTTGGAATTCTCATCCTCCCTCACATATGTCAGAATTTTTCAATCTCACCTCAAATGAACCAGGTCTCCCAATAAAGATTGAGGGGTGTGAAATGACAGAACTAGCACAGCCTGAGAACCGTCTTGAAATCACAAGTCGCTTTTCCACTCGGCCCAAATGGAAAAGAATGGACACGCCATCACACACCACATTGATCTGGGCCACCCTGCTTGGCGCGTCCACCCACATCCCCTCGGTTGCGGAAGCGATGCTCAAACTGCCGCCCCTGGCTGCCGACCCAAAGCACACCTGCCGAGCAATTGGCGGGGACTGAATGGAAGAGGCACCCATTGACTACGATGCTTCCAAGAATACAGTACTGTAATAATGCACAGAAAACTGGCTGTGTGGATGACTCAAGAAACCGCTAGGGGCAAGCAGGCCTCGAATGGACACTCCACGATCAGGCCCGCTCACGTACAAAGAGCACGGCGATGTAGAGCCTGACTCATGGAACATGCTTGGACACAGAGCTGCGACTTCTCGTCGAGTCAAGGCAAGGCAGTCCCTATTCTATCCAAGTCGTGGTTTCAAACACTTGGCAAGGAATTGACGACTCTTCCAGTCTAGCACCAGCTATTGGAGTTCTCTATTTTCCAAAGCTGCATATTCATTCCAATGCGAGCTGGGGATGTTATGGAGGGTACAGTACCACACAACACCTTGGGACAATCCTAAAGAGCCACTTCCCGTGAGCGTGCCTGTTGCTGGCTCCTTGGGTGCGATGCGGTGAGGCACAGAGACAACATTGGATCTATCCAGATTGAAGTACAACGGCCTCTTTGCATGAATGCAAACAAAACAAACCAAGGCTTGTTTTCGTTACTGAGGTCGACAATGACAAAAAATAACTTGTCCAGCGCAGCTGTCTTCTGGTGACACGAAGAACGCAAAGTGGATCTTCAAAGGTGCGACAAGAAAGGCGGCTGGGCAACAGGGGAGTCAGAATACCCGAAACCTCATCCAGCTGAGAGCCAAGCATAGCCCTTCGGATAGAAGTGGAATTGAAGCCTCTCCTGCAAGGGCAACCCTGTGTTGATCCCAACAGTTTGATTCACAGGCCCGCATCTACTCTCCCAGTCACCACAGGAAAATCAATCTTGATCAAATGTATTTCGCTTGGTAGCGTGCCTTTGGACTAGTTACTAGACTAGGGCATGCATGAGAGGGTATTTCAATGGCCTTCGGAATGCTTGGTACATATACCTAGCTGGATGTTGCCTTGGGTGGAACATGATTGACGAAACCAGGAGGCTTTCGCTGACTTCAATGATCTCAGCGGTGGAATATATTTAATAATCATTGTGAATCATTGTGAAACATTTCAACCCTCACAGGTTGCTCCTTGGCCTACCTATCTGCTTATACTACCGTTTTCAATTCAAACTATCTTTTCTGGTGAGGCACCACGATTCAGAGCACCACGATTCAGAAGCTGCCAGGACCACAGCCCTCTTGGTCGGTTACTGCTTGGATGACCCGTCTTTTTCCCACCTCTCACAGGAAAAAACAATTATCGAATTTACACACCTCCGCACGCCGCAGTTTGCGGACAACTGAATCCAAGGTGACCAAAAACAATGCCCATTCATGCCCATTCATCAGCGCACGCACGCGTGCTGGGGGACATCAGGGGACGGCGGTCCAAGCCGGCAGCGCTGAAGATTGGGGAGTCCACCGAGTCGCCCGCTTTGCAGCACTCCAAGAGCCTGGAAAATCGAGAGAATCGAGTGCCAGTCCAAAGAAAGTCAAAACTAGTGTCCGTGCTACTAGTGATGGCCTCCAGCCTAATAGCGATGGCCTCCACCCTAGTAGCGATTCTGTAGCTTGGATACTTCTTCTGCCTCAGAAGCTTGTGGTGTGCTGCTGATGCTTTTTCGATTGTGTTATCTCTTAGTTCTATATGACATTAATTGACATGATGTGACTCTTTACTCGGTCTCTTCGCTGACTAAAGGAATTCCTTCTCCAAAGTATGAGGGCTCAGCTAGAGCTTCCTGGTACTCTCCAGTGTGGCATGACCATTTGTAGACCTCTCCTCTACTCTCTGCTGCACAAAGGATCAAGAAGGTCCAGGTCCAGAGTCTAAAGGCGTGAGAGGGGAGCCCCTGAAGTGGAGGGAGACTCATCTGACCACATCGCGCCTAGTGCAACCCTCAAGCTTCCATTCCACACGGCGCACCCACTTGTTCCTGCAGAAAGCAGCACGTCTGGATCTCAAAGGTTGGAAAGGCGAGACTTTTGAGACCACCTGTTCGACAAAGATTGGCCTGTGGAAGCACAGATCAACTCAGATTCTGCTCCAGCTTATCTCATGACAACCGAGGAGCCTGTCAACGTCAAAGCAACCTTGACACCTGAAACTTTTTGAACATCCTACAACCCAAGCTCCTCCACTCGCACCCCTTGGTGCTGCTTATACCACAAACGCACCACGCCCAAAGGTCTCTGAGGGTTGTTGAGGAGTCCATGGGGTCCGTGTCCTGAGGCTGACAAGATCCTTCTGAAGTCGCTCGTGCAGCACCAATTCCTGGGCAGTGTCCAAGCGGAGCCGGGCCAGGTCCATCCGGGTTCTCTGTCACAGAGTCCCAAACGAGTGGAACAGGAATCGCAAAGATCTGGGAATCTTTTTCCACTTCTTCTCTGGTGCCCACAGCTGCAATGTTCCAGTCTTTTAGTTGTGTATGTAACACCTTACCTTCGGGTGTCATACCAAAAGCATTATGCAATTCATTTGCGGTTTGCTACTAACTATAGTAGTAGATGCCCAAATGCACTGCTGAAACCCAGAGTTGCCGGGCCGCTCTGATTCCAACCAGTGTTTAGCAGTCCAGCAGGATACCCTATATATGCAATCCAACCTTCTCTGCACACGCTGCCTGGGCATCCCGGCTGCTGTGGCCGAGCGTGTGAAGAACATTTCGTCACTTCTTTTGCTGCGCTCGCTGCGCTCCTCTTCGTGGCCTGCAAGGCTTGGCTGTGGGGGTGGTCATTGCCTGCTCTTGTCTTGTATCTCTTCAAGCAAGTCCTGAAGAACTTAATGCACCCTGGAATGTCTCTATTATTGAACATTCATGACAATTCCTATGTCGAGTAAGTCGTTCATTCTTTTCCTATATTTTCCGGTCATGTCTCATTAAAGAGATTAACTAATTCAGAGGGCAAGCGAGCGACTTGTTGGGGATATCTAAATATCCAGCAAGTGTGTCCTGTATCCCACAATACTGTAACTATTCAGTCCACTTCACTGTTGACACCAGGGCCTTCTGTGCCTGCTTCATCTTCTGGCACCAGCTCAGGGCTCTCAGGGGATTCTTCCTGCCCAGCAGTCACATCTTGGGCATTCAAATGCTGCGGCTTCCCATGGTTGGACTTCAAATGGAATCAGGTTCAAGCCCAACTGCTGGATTCCGCGCTAACTCCTCCGAAGTCAATGCCATCCCTGGCTTTATGGATGGAGTATCACACGGTTGTGCATCTAATATTCTCTTCCCATGGCGCTTTATTATTTGGCCCGAAACCTGAACAAAACCATTGATCAATATACATATCAGAACTGAATGGCACCTGCTCATTGTCTTTAGATGTATTGCAACTCAAAGGAATTCCCAGGGCTGGAAATCGTCCTCCACCTCCTGGAGTTCGAGCACCGGCTGAGTCTTGAACTCCTTGGAGAGCAGGTTGAAAGCAATTCTTTAAGGGCTAGAGAAAGTGGAGCAAACTTGAACGCAGTCCATCTTTTGCTGCACTGATTCTTCCAAGATGAGCAAATGCCAATAGCAACATCGAAACAAAGAACCCCGCAACGATGCTGCAACGACCCAAGACTGACCAAGAGTCCCTCAGGATGGATATTCAGATTCTAGGGATGAGTAGAATCGATTACAGTAGATAATAGTATATAGATAGATGTAGATAGTACTTACATCCCAGGACCCTTCTAGCTCCAAGTCTCGAGTAGATCAAAGGTCACTGCAATGTTGTCTTCCTTCCGTATCCAGGCCTGGCGCAAAACCTATCTATAGTATCTGCTGTCGAAAAGCCGTGATCTGGTGGTCATCTATACTATATACAGTATATATATATATCCCGGTATATCTAGACTCTGTCTGACTTCAAAACATTGCAAGGATTTGAATGTTTAAGGGTTCCAAAACACGTAAAAAAAACCAGTGTTGGGTCGGTAGACTTTCCGTCCACGCTGTAACCTGACATGTAAAAACAGGTTCTTGCATGCAGTCTTCTTAGGGAACACAGCTCCAATCACAAAACTGACCGCTGCTCCCGCCTGCTCGAGCAGGCAAAAGTTCAAGACTTCGAAAAAGGTTCGTGGCTCGCCTGGTTTGGCCCGAGCACAAGCAATCAGAGTCGTGGAGTCGATCTACAGGATGAATCTGAAAGGGTGACAGGGAAGAAGATAGCCGAACCAAACTCTCCTACAAACTCTGCATGCTGCGATGACTTCTCAGGCTCTGTGAAGGCTTCCTGACGCGGCACTTGAACATCATTGAGCTAAAAATGTGTTCTTTCTCCTACTGTACTCTTTTGACGTTTACAGTTACTCTTGCGCCTTTACTTCGCAAAAACCAGGTCTTTCATTTTCCTTTAAACATGATATCACATGACTTCACCCGATTTACTAGCCACCAACATTCTTATACTGTATAGAAGCTGGGCTTCATTTGCTTTCCATGTCCATTCCATCCAAAATTATGTCTGCAAAAACTCGCATCCGGCCACCGCTTTGCCCGCCTTCTACCTCGCTGGGCTCCAAGAAACTATAGTCAAAGCGCCGGCTCACAGCATTCTCACCTTCCCCCACGGTGAGCCTGGTGCATCGGGTGCAATGGACTGGTGATCATCTGATAGGTCATTCAAGGTCCAACTCTTACTAGTAGCGTCCTTGTTTCTAATAGCGATGCCAGGAGCCCCCAGTAGCGTCCTTGCTCCTAGGAGCGATGCCAGGAGCCCCTAGTAGCTTCTCGTTACTAGTAGTTACTTGTTCCTGTGTGTGAATGATCCTGGTTGGTGATCTCGTGCGAATGTTCAACTCCGTTGGAAAACGACTACGTTGACATGATGGATGGACGTTTGAACCGTTTGTTTCTGGAGTGGCGCTGCCTGAAGGTCATCTCGACGCCTGGGTGAACCCACAACCGCAGCGAGCAGCTGCCTCTCATTGGCCAGTCAGGGTGGTTTGCTCCGAAGTTTTGGAACTCTAGATCCGACACCGCTCATTTAGCTGTGGCAAGGGTGCGAATGACGCATCGTTTGCCATCAAAATCCATCAAAGAATTTGAAAGCATAAGAATCAGAACCATCGTACATCTTCCTCTATCAAAATATATACAGTAGCGTGACTTTAGAAGAGGTTCTTCGCGTGTCTGGATGCACCAAGTGCGTTGTTGGTTTTGATTCCGGTTCCTTGAAGACGATGCTAGAAGGACCCTCAGGGACATGAAAGCCATGAAGCGTCGCAGGCTCAATTGACATGCCTAACCGGACCTGTACATGCACATCCTCACTGCAAAACGCCCTGTATAGAAAACCTTTCGTTCACCATAGTGTCAGTGAAAACATTGGCCCTTTATGCTCCCTCCAAAAAGAACACTAAACTTCCAATTGTTCAGTAAATTAATAAGGTCATCATACAGCTCTCTTGGTCTATACGTACTATACATGTAGTTCCCGCAGTGAGTGGGTAGACAGCCTTTTAATTTAAAGCATATAAGCGAATGTTCAATGGCTTTGCGGCTACAAAACGGGTGCCCAAATAAGAGCCCTTCCTTTCACATGGTAACCTGTCTTTTGGTCTGCAACTACGCTGAATGTTGCCATGCCTTTGCGTGCGCTAGCACAAATTCCAGACTAGCCTCGCTCATGATGCCCAGGTCGCAGCACTTACTGTGATGGCCAGACCTCTAACCCCGAAAGCATTACAGGAATGGCTCACTTGTGGCCCTGACAGTGGTGGCAAACGCGCGAGAGGTGCAAGGACAAAGGAACCAAGTGAACAGGGACAACCGATGAGTCAGGCCAGACCTCCTCATTATAACACCTAGGACGTAGGGCTCTTCTCAACCTCGATTGAATGTGCATGTGCACGTTTACACCGAGGCCCTGGCCGATGTGCGTGCAAGAGAAGAAAAAAGGATGAAATGACAGGACATGAACGAAACCAAATGACAGGGGGCACGGACAAGGCAGACAGGAAACCAACCAATATAACAAAACCTGGGGCACCTAACTTTGTTTTATGGATCCCCTTTGAAATTCATTTGGGTACTTTGGTAGCCCAATTTCAATCAATTTCATACTATAGATCGACGCCCCCATGTGGGGGTCTCTTTAAAATCATGCCCCCCAGCTCACGCACACGCTATAGAATCAAAGCCCCTTTGTCGTGAAGTGACAGCTTATATTTGAACTATTCAACACTAAAGTTTCACAACCCCCATCTCACAGACCGAATCCTTAGAATATTGTATGCTCAAAAAACTCTGATTCTATAGTGATCCGATGTGTGTTCGAAGAATGTTTCCGACAACATCCAGCAACGTCTTTCGGACGATGTGTGATTTCCGCCGATGTCAATTTTTCTTTCCGCTCTGGTCTGCCTGTTCATTTTGTTTGTTGCTTGCTTGTTCATTGCTAGAATCATGATCACTCGATGACTCATCAACATGTCTGTCACTAAAAAATAAAAGTCCCCATGTCACCAGTACAAAACTCACGGAAACATATATCGCAAGTTATAACACTTTAGAATCACAACCCCCAGGTCAACTAGGTCAAATTGCACCCTTGTCGGAAATTTCCCGTGGTTCCTTTTAGAATCGAGGAACCTGAGTGATTCGATTCTATAGTGCTATAAAACGGTTGCTGGGGAGTACCCAGTGGCCTGATTCCATAGAGGGAATTTTTAAGGGGATTTTTATGGTGTAATTTAACAGGCTGTGCACATGCACCGGAGCAATCGTAAGGGCAGCACAAAGTAGGTCCGGAAGGAGCTTACAAGTCAACTTCTCCGAAGTTAAAGCTTTCGAAGGAGCAACACCATCGACTCACCCCACCCCACCTGGCACTGGGAGTGGTGCAGTGATCCCTTCCTCCTGGGCCATGCTGCGGGCAGCCAGGCAAAGCTCCAACCTCTGCGTGGCGGTGGTTGGTGGGAGCCACTTGAAGCCTGCGAACTGAGAAGTCGATATGGCTGCTCTGCGCATCATTTCTTGACTTGAGCAGCACGGGCATGGGAAAGGCCCATTTGTTGGAGAAAAACAATTCCAACTATAAGGCACTCTCCGTACTAAGGCATGCTATTCCTGAAGTTTCTTCATAGGGGACTGGGCTGTGAGATCACCCACCGAGTACAAAGATCCAAAAAACATGTACACAACAAATACTCCTAGTAGCGTCCTTGCTCCCAGGAGCGATGCCAGGAGCCCCTAGTAGCGAGGCAAAATAAACGTGACATCCACAGCTGACCGGGCACCCGACTGCATGGTGGGCAACGAACAGAGTGAAAACTCCGGTGATCGAATGCCCGAGCAGTCCACACGGGCCTCAGTCTGGCGAATCAGGCCTTCATTAACAGGGCTCTTCACGTGAAGACCCTTTTTTTGACCTATCGTCCTTTCGTGTTTTCTTCCTTCTCAATCTCTCCTTTCTTTGTTCTCTTGTATTCTCATGTCGTCCTTTTCTCACTTTGGTTGTCGTTCTGACAAGAACAACTCAGAAGTTAAGTTTCCCTTCAGAAAGGAAGTGTGAGCTATACCGCGTCCAAATACTAGAAGCTAACTAGTCGGAGCTACTCCCCTACTTACTGAAGTAAGGAGTCAAGGCCACGGGGAACAAAGCAACAACCCTGCAATGCCCTGCAATTCTTACCCCGCACCGGGTCTGATGACATGACTGGCTGCGCACCTCACGTTCCTGGTTCAGGACATCGGCCATGCGCTTCTTCAAACCTCTGCAGTTCCATCTGACACTGCGGCAGTAAACCTCGCAGCGGATTGGACGAAGCCAGGTCGCATCTGGAGTCTCAATGAGCCTTACTGATTTCTCCAAAGCAGCAACTTTGAGCAATGGTGGGGTAAAATGCAGTTTCCCAACAGTGTTGAAATCCTTGAAAAGGCTTAAACAGGCAAACTCAGTGTTCAGTGCACCTGCAAACCAGGTCTGAGTGACACTGAGATCGTCGATCCAACCAACCAGGGCTCCGGCATTGGCCGCCAGCTGGGTATTACTCTCGATACCTCAGTCTTTGCAGCAGTGTAGTTATCTCACCCAGGAACGGGCCTAGGGCCTAGGAATGTGCTCATCCAGCTCTGCCAAACGGCCAACTGGATGGAAGACTAAAACACATTCTGCGCAAATGCCATTCCGTGGTTCGGGGACATGCAATCATTAGACACCTGGAGTGTACCCGGCCATTGTAATATTGTGAGAACACACTGAACACACACACACACACACTGAGGGAATCTTAGCAAGGGCACCTTCAATGCGTGTTCCCAAGACCATGGCTAAGTAGAGTAAACGGTGGTCAACAGTGTTCCCACATCTCGCCCAATCACTGTAGGATGCTGTGGATTGTTATGGTTGCTTGCCCTGCGATGTTGGCGACCGACAGACTTCTGGGCCAATGCAATTTGCAATGTCAAGGGTAGATGGTACCCTCTTCTCCAGCGCTGAGTGACCTGGTGAATATACGTGGAGAGATTCTTGTCAAGCAATGTTACACCGGAACTCTGCTGGGAAGCTGGGAAGCCCGACGGTGCAAGTTCTCTCGGATGGCAATCCGAAGGTCCTGGAGGCTTCCATTTCAAGTTGTGTCCAGATTTACAGTCATATACAGTCTTACATCCTCATCAGGATATGCATCTGTCTGGTTTCATCTGACTTTTTCAAGGACGAATACATTCCAAAGGACTGGAAGTGTGACAGTTTGAAAGGGTGCTTAGGCTTATGTCACACTTATGTCAACTAGCAGCTAGTCAAGAGAGATTGGGACAGTATACAGAGTAGCCACAGATTCATGTGGTACAAATCACATGTTGACCAGGATTCCTTTCCAACAGAACAGCTTTCCGAGCTTGTGACATCCTGCATCCTGACATCTTCATGAGAATTATATAAGGCAACAAAGTACATGACCCTTTGGCCCCAAAGCAAATACTTACAGGCCCACATGGATTTGATGATTTAGTTGCTGGTGAAAACTATATAAAAATGTTGCCCCTGCCCGACTGATGTCACTCCTGGACTCTTTCCTGTGTGGCTTGCTCCTCTTTCACCAGCCTGCAAGTTACGAAGGTGGAGGCAGGAGCTGAAACTATTTAACTGGTGGAACCAGTGGTCGAAGTGGCTTCGGAGTTTTCATCCGTACTTTTTGATATGTTTCTGTTGCAAGAGTACAATGAAACACGACAACATGCATGATTGTGGGTAATACCCAGACTTCAGACTTGCTTCCCCACGTGGAACATTTCATTTCATACAATGATACGTGGGATGAAATCCCAAGGCTGGCAACCCGTGTATTGTACTATATACAATAATTATGTATATATAATACTTAAAACACATATATATATATTATATTATATTGTATTATATTATATAAATCCTTGAGCACCTTCCCACAAGTACTACCTGAGAAATAGGCAACACACACACACATATCAGTTTTTGAAAAATGCGGTGCCCTGGATCCCTACCGGTTTTTCTCTCTCCTCGGGGGTCCCGAATAACTCCATGGATCCACTCGCTCTTCCCACCTTTGCAAGCAGTCGGCGACGCTGTTTTCCATTTCTCCACGCCTTTGGCTGAGTGACCGTGGTCTCTGGGACGCCAAGTTGCCACGTTGGGAGGGCCACAAGATGAGCAAAGTAGTGGGAGGGCCACAAGCTACAGTAAGAGTTTCTTTTTCGCAAAACTGTCGGCTTTCAAGGCCAAAGTGGAAGTGAGGCATTTGTAGAATTGCATAGCCAGCTACAATCATCCAGTAGCTGTATGTCGATTACAACATGTTCTTTTGGTCAGCATTGTCATGACTTCGATCTTGAATCCAAAAAACACAGTCTTCAGTCTTCAGATCGTTCACCTAGTTATCTCTGAACAAATCTGCCACGTCTTTGAGACATGTCCACCTCATGTATGATGTCCAAACAATGTGCCGACCGTACAGCCTGTGCCGACCTGAAATGATACCACTGGGCAGCCCTACACCGTTTGTATGCGCTCTTCGACAGTTTGCACTGACCTGCCATGGGACTGGACCAAGTACTAGGAGCAAGGACACTACTAGGGTGGCTTTTGGTTGGACCTGTGCATCCCATTTCAGGACCGGTCTGGCCAAGTGAAGTGGAAATTCTACTGTCCAGTGGAGAATGTGGATTTCAAATGATTTCAAGAGGATTCATGCCTCTCTAGAGAAGGAGCAAAGAGCTGAATTGTGATGAATCAAACCAAACCAAGCTGAATTCTGCCCCCTACCTAGAAGCGATGTGGGTGGATTGGGTAGAAGATCTTCAAGCTAATCACCTCTCTCTTCGGCCCTCCAGCCTCTCCAAGTCTGCTGTCGACTGCACCAGCTTAGAAGACACATCCTCCAGTCCGCCCTGTGGCACCGGCATGGTAGCCGTCGTCGTCTGGACTCGTGTAAATCCCGTTGTCTTGCATGTGCTTTCCATTTTAACAAACTGGTGTCCATTTCTTGCAACTCTGGTGGCCAAGCAAAAGCAGAATGATAAAATATGGTTTAAACATGCAATACTGAAATTAGCAGGGAATGTGTTTGTCGTGGGGTGGGTGTTGTGGGTTTTCGGGGGGCCAAAGTCTTCCCCCAACTTCCAGGAATAACTTTCACCGCACATGAGTTGGAGAATAGGTAAGGCCATCCGCTAGTCACTAGTCAAAGGATTTACATACTGTATATACCAATTGGCAACCTGTTCTTCCTTTCTTGATATTTGTTGCAGGTGTCGGCTGCCCAACAACAGCGCTACTCTATGTTATTCCCACGCTGCATGTAGATGCATGTAGCATGACATAGCATGACCCGTCCTGGAGCTGATCGCACTGGGTGGTCAATGGCCCACTGGTAGACTCCTTTGCCACCTGCCGATTGCACAGCAAGCGAGTGGACCATTGGCCGACGAAGCCAGGGAACGACTTTGAGATGTCTTTGTTTCCACCTCAATATCCAAGAAGTCTCCACCTAGTCAGCTAGTTGGGGTCATGGGGTTTGACATGGCCATTCTTCTTGTCAGTGAGAAACACCAACAAGTTGTCTTCCTCTTACCCTCAAAGGGTCCACTTGCGACCATCCTGGCCTGGATCTCCTTGTGCATCTCCACCCTTTGTGTCTCGATGACGCTGTGGCAGCTCTTCAGCTCCTGGGAGGTTCCCAGGCAACTGACCGGTGTAGATATGAATGTTGATTGGCTTCCACCATTGAGATCCTAAGCTTTTTTGAAGTGCAAAAACATGCAAAAACGTACACGGTTACGCCGCTGATGTTGGTATTGCAAGTGGCCCTCAAAAATGGCCATCACGCAACAAGGTCGAATTGTTTCTTGCCAGAACCAAAGGTCGATGGCCGCAAAAGGGGCCAGGGTGTAGTTGCCACATGTTGCCACCCCTTCTGGTCCCCTACTACTAGGTTGGAGGCTTGGCTATTATCAGGTTGGAGGCCATTACTACTAGGAAGAAGAAGTTACTAGTAAATGTAGTTTTTCACCAACTGAAACTAGGAATGTCGCCTTCACTGACAGACCGATTGGACCGACCAAACTGGACCGGTTTTTTGCTCCTCAGTGAGGCGATCGGAGCTCTGTTGCGTTTGCTGCTGCAGCTGCGAAAGCTGCTGAAAGCTCACGTGGTGCTTATCATCCACCTGCAGAGTCACCGCACCTCAAAACCACAACACCACGGGGATCATCATAATACACCACTAGGACAAAAGGCTTTTCTTCTTGAAGGTTCCAAATTGACAACCCTTTCCGCATAGAATCCTGCAAGGCGCTTATGTGGCCTGACACAGTCGAATTTCCTACGAGTACCTCCAAAGCTGTTTATAATTGTAAATTCAAAAGAGGGTGATAATTGACCGTCCCAATGCTATAAGACCCCGCACGAAGAAACCATTTTCTTCCTCCTGAAGTATTCATGAAACTTCCCGCACCCAACAACTTGGCCTAAAGATTTGACCAACAACTTGGCTTCTACAAGAATCCAGATTTTTGATTGTTCAAACAATTCTGGTGCCTGGGCTTTTTGTGATCCCCCGCCTTTTTCAGCTCTAGCTGGTGGGCTAAGATCTGCTCCTGAAACTCTTGCCGCAAAGTCTCCGCCTGCAACGCGTGTGTCTGCCGAACGGATGGATTGCCATTTTCCAAGCCTTGTGCCCCAAATAGCAGTTTCACAATGTCAAACTTTCCAGATTTGATAGTTGGCGCAGGAGTTTAACACCTTAAAAGACGACGAAGATAATCATTCCTGCAAGGAACCCCTAACCCCAGTTTTTTGCAGCTTCGTTGGTTGGTTGGCTGTCCTCCTCGGCCTTGCTCTCTTTTAGCTCTTGGAGCTCGGAACTTTGCTGCTCAATGCGGAGGTTCAGCTCCTCATGGAGTGGCCAGGTTGGCTGGCTGCTGTCTTGGCATTAAGATCATAACAAACAAGTGGGTTACGACACATGGGTAAAGAAAAAACCATTGACAAGCTGCTGTGAGGATTCTAGAGATGCAAGGAGCTAGTCCATAAATGGACTGCTCTGACTGCACCACTTAAATCTTTGGCCGTTGGCCTTCTCCCAACACCAAAGTTGAGGTGGTCAAAGTTGGACATATCAATATGTGACATAAGCAAAGCAACGACTCTAGCTAAAACGATCGTGATGTTTGTCTGGAAAAAAAACGAAGTGGGTGGGTGTTGTTATAAACCACCTCTCACTTTGCCCGCATGCTCTTTCTTGTCTTGCCGCTCCACTTCCCAAAACACCAGTTTACGTCGAATTAGTGAGAGATTCGCAAAACAAACACCCAGCATCACCCAGCCAATGCGGCTGGCATCAGCGCAAGCGCAAGGAATACGTACTGTATCATCATGTTCCGTTTCTGGTCGATCCAATCCAAAGGGATCCAAAGGGATCATTGGTGTGATATAGCGACCCAAAGACGAACAAACCGTCACTGTATAGATCTGTATAGTAGATAAATTCATACTAAAACCAGGCAAGGGCAGTGAGTGATTGCTCCACCACAAACAAAACACGGGCGTAGTGTTACATCATACCTTATCAAACCATCCTCTTGCCTTCCATCCCGGCCTGCCGCAGGTCGTGGATCTGCTGGGTATGTCGCTCACTGCTTTGTGTGACGGCCTCGACAGCACGCTGGAGGAGCCTCCCTGACTGAACACCAGGACCGAAAGCAACTGTGTTCGGGTGCGTTCGAATGTGGTTTCCTCGGTCTTGCAACCAAGGCCCCAAAGGGAGATCCAACCATGAGCCAAGTCCACTCCAACTATGGAGCCATGTGGAGACTGACTAGGGCAACGGAAAACATCAACTCTCCGGAGACATCTTCATGTCACCAAATTCCGATCACCCCGGTGCAGGCCTGCTCTGAATGGGACCTCTCCTGCTTGAGTGACAGCATTTCTTCCTGCAAACACAAGCCCGGAACAAAGTTCTGTCATCTGGTGAATCTGGTGCGCATATTAATTATAAACATTCATACACAATGGACATGAGTCAGCACCAAGTGGTGCACAGTGGCGGCACGCTTCACGTTAAGTTAAATCAATTGTTTAATTAAGTATATACTGTGTATATATAATGTCACAATCGCAGCTTTCCGCCGATACTCTAGCTACAAGTAGCATGCCCGTGCGAGGTATATAAGTGAGCTTCAGCCAGTGTTTGAGTTCTTCATCTGCATGACCGATGTGTTGGCAAGTACACCACCGGCGCCACCAAGAGGGAAACCCAGCGAAAACCACCAGGGCGGGCTTGGGGCAGCGAGCCTTGAGCCCAGTGAGCTCTGCCGTGAAGTCGTTGATCACTGAGCTGGAGAGCTCCATGATCTTCGAGTTCAGGCGATCCTGGAGAGCTCGGGACGGTCATCTGACTCGTGGACGGTCACCCGTCAAGTCCATCAACAACGCTGCCACTTGAGGGGCTTCAAATCACTTTTTTTACCTCTTGAAACCAGCTTAAACCCCTCAAAGATTGCAGCTTCAAAGCCCGTGTACAGAAAACGTGCTGCCACTGATCTGACACAGGCAACTGTCAACATCTATCAATTTGTCAGGGAGGCTGTGCACTTCAGGCCTCCTGAAGCCCTTTGGACAAAAAAATGGGGGGACCACCCACACGCCAATCGTTTTGTTCAAACAAACATGCCGATCCGAGAGCCCCACTCAAGTGCTCAGTTGTCTTTTTGAATGTGAATGCGTAGCATCTTCCCGCCAAGAAAAAATGAACTCACCGGATGTCCCATCCATCAGGTCCTCAAGCTCCTTGAGTTTGGCCTGGCAGGACATCTGTCAAGATTGCAAAGGGGGACATGGTGCCATGGAATCTCCGCCACACTGACATGCCATGGCGATACGACAGAAATCGCATCTGGACAAATTGGCCGGCCCACCGTACCAACCCCAAGATCCCTAAGGAGTTGCACCACATGCACCACATCCTATAACTTGGATCGACCTTCGAAGTTGACGCGCCATTCATTCGAAGTTGACCAACTCCTCCGTTCACCGGGCGGATGTGATCGGTGTCAGCTTGAGACTGGACAGCTCTGGCTGCACTTCCCTTTTGGTCAAAAAAGTGTGCAAGTGAATCAAGGATTTGCGCACGGCAGTGTGTTCCTGAAACAGCAAACCACCTTTCTAAGATCTCATCAAGCCTTTGATACGAGAAGCAAGTGGTTCGATCGATGTTTTGAGATACCTCAGAGGCATGGGATCTGGTGTCATTTCTTCAGACTTACCAGAGTTGGGAACGATTTCTGGTCGGTTTCCGGGAAGCTGTGCATTGTGCATTGTGCATTGATTGTACGCCTGTCCTTTTAAGACTTCCTGTGCTGCGGCTCCTTAACATCTTAACGTCTGACACAAAGTCTCGCGACCCCTTTGAGACTCATCAACCTCATCATATTCCCCGTTCATAACCAGTCTGATTGGGTTCCTCCCCACATTAACTCCCGGCTTCCTCCCTGCCTCCACATCAACTTCTGGCTCCTTTGGTGGCTTCGACCCGCAGCACAGCACCATGGCTACCCACAGCACCAAGGCTTTGAGCGGTGCAAACAGGGTCAATCGAGTGGACTTCTGGCGACTTTGGCCCAAAAACGCCACGTTCTGAAAACTCAGTGAGGCTGAGGAAGAGCAACGCTCAGAATCGCTTATTGCCCTTGCTCGGTGAGGTATGATGAGCCACCCTGCTTCGACTTCTCTTCCTAGCAAACTTCTCTTCAGCGAGCTTCATGCTTCATGAATGAATTCTGTCCCTCTTGACTCTTGAATCAAGAAAACGTGCCTGCGGCTCAACAAACCTATATACATCTAAGCATCCATCTGATGCCCGCTGTAGGAATTTCAACATATTCATCATGTTGAATCCAACAAGCTACAAGAACATCTCCACACGGGCAATGTGGTGGTGTAGGCATGACAATTAGATATGATTTTGGAGGGTTGAACCCCCTAGGATCCTTTGGACATCGAGTGGCTGCCACTGGCTGCAACTGGATTCGGGGCTGGGAAATCTGACGTGCTGTTCTTGGGCAAATGATGACTTGGGTTGCATTCTAATCTCCCTCTCTTGGTTTTCTTTCGCTTCCAACATGATTCTGCTTCATCTGCGCCCCTCTTTTGCACTGCGCAGGCAGCTCGGACTCCTATGCCGGCACGTAGGAGGACCCCAGAGTCCTACGCTTGCCGGGTGCGGACTCATCAGATTATATAAGCCCATGACGAGCCCTGGAAACACAATAAACTATCGATCTATGTGTATGTGTATATATATATATATCAAACAAAGCAGAAACCAAGATCATCTCCAAGCCATGAAACCACTCTAATAGCATTAGCTGCTCTTTTTGTGTGAAACAACACCAACAGTGTCGCAGGGCTTTTGATGTGCACGATCGTGACATCCATTGATGTTGCACCCACCTACCTCATCCATCCTCATCCTACCTCTTCACCGGAAGTTTTCCAAAAACGCCTTGCTCGACACCAACAACCGAAAGGCCCCGGGCACCTCGGCGGTAAGGCCTCCGGGTTCTCGTGCCACTCGGCACGCTGAGCGGCGCGCTTGGCGGAGCTGAGATATTGGGGCGCGGCCTCGGAGAGATGCTCCGACTCTGCTTGCAGCTCCTGAGGCGAACGTCTTAATGGGGAAGCAATTGTATTTTCTTAAAGCCCAGGGGGGGTAGGCCGAGTCGGTAGCTAGTAAGGAGAGGTGGCTAGTAGCTTAAGTAGCTACTAGTATGGACGCAGGATAGCTCACGCTTCTTCAAGGAAGCTCCCCCCGCCGCCCAGGTGTAGGTCCGGTGACCTTTTGCGGAAGATCTTGCGCAACATCAACAGGGTTCATGTACCCTTTTGGATCTTTTCGGATTTCACTTTCCCGGCATCCCATGGACGGGACGGGAATGGAGGTGGGACTCATTCTGCACTTAGTGTCGTGATTCAACACAGAAGCGACACCTACAAATATTCTCTCTCTCTCTCACGTACATCACATCCATTATTTGGTTTGATTGATGTTGATTGGACCCCAATGACCTCCCACAGCCTCATTGGCGCTTCTTTTTGACCGCATGTCTCTTGGCGCTGCTTATCCCCGCCTTGGCGTAGCTCCGCAGCTTTTGCCCGTGGCTCCGCATCTGCTGGGCTGCGGTGTTTAGCCGCAGCGCGCCGTCCACGTCACCCGCCATCCTGTGGCAGGACGAGAAGGCCGAAAACAAGGTGCTTATTCATCTGTCTAATCACTTCAATCAGCTTTGGAAAGAAAATTGGTCTCAAGAAAGCTAATTAAGCTATATATGTTGATTTTGGACTCCAGGTTCTTGGGCCCAGTGACGTCGCTGAGGAAGTTGGTGTTTGCAGCAATCCTATGGGCAACCATCCAACCGTGGGCTTGTGCCAGGAATTTGGCAGTCCATTCGTTGAATTCCATTGCTTTTGGATTGGTGCCAGTGCTGCCAGCTGCTACAAAGGGCAGTTTCTTCGAAAGGATTGGGGAGGTTGAAAATAAAAGCAAGTGTATCTGGCAGCAACGAAATGAACAATTGAACCGTACGCTAGTATGACGAAAAAAAACACCCTTGGGTCTGTATCAAAACACTAGGAGCTCTCATTCCTTGAGTAAGGTTCAAGAAACGACCCATTCACAATCCAACCCGAGCGAAGTCATCACAGCACACGAAGTGCTGCTGTAGGCTCGTTTGGACAACATGGATGACCATTTGGTTCGCAGAATCAAACATCAAAGCAAGGCCACACACACTAAGTCCAGATCGTTTCTCAACAGTACATCCATGGGTCCATGACCTAATCATTAACTCTCCAACGCGAAAAGCAAACACAAAGGCAGATCAAACATGATCAAACCATAGTTTGAGCATGTCATTTGATCCTCTCTTCCGCCCCGTCTCCCAACAGCGCGGACACACGCCTCTTCTCTGCCGCAGTCAAGGTCGCTTGGTTCGCCTCCTCCGCCAGGCCTTTGGCCACGGTGGACAAGGTCTTCGCCGTCGTCTGGTAGCTCTTCGCCTTCACTGGTGAAGAAACCCAGGAGGGCATTTGCACCAAAAGCACAGGGCAAAATAGAAAACAATAGAAATGACATAATAATTATGTAATTACGAATTACGAGTAGTATATATATAGTACGTTATGCTACCCGGAAGTGAGTTAGGACTTTACGACAGCTCAAATGAGATAGGTCACGAAAGAAGGTACAAAAAGAGTGGGCAGATGAGATCCTGCTGGCACATAAAAAATGCAACCCATCTCATTTGCTATACCATGGGCGTACCGTAGCCGTCAATGAGATAGGACTATGTGCTGAATGTCAATTGTCAATAAAAAACTACTTAAAATATAGTCCGGAGCCATGTACTAGCCACGTGTGTAACATGAAATGGTACCTGCGCTTGGTTGCTCTTTTCTCCCAACGCTGTGTCCTGAGGATTGGCACTATCAACAAAAACTCATGTTGCTATCTGTGCCGAAGTGTTTGAAAGTGATTGGCTGCAGAGATGTCTACCTAGAGCTCCTAACTCATCTAGCATGTCATGTCCATGTTATACCGATTATATAGATTTGACACTTTGGCTGGGACCTTCGGAGGTCCCAGCACGCCCGGCATATGCTGGCATCGGTAAAGCTCTTTCAGCCCATGAGTTCGGTCCATGTGGCCAATTCTGGTAGCTAGAAGCTACTAGGAGCAAAGGGCATCGCTACTAGGAGCAAGGACGCTACTAGGGGCTCCTGGCCTGACTACTAGTAGCTAGAAGCTACTAGGAGCAAAGGGCATCGCTACTATCATCTCCTGTGGTCTCCGCCAAAAGTAGGCTTTCGACAAATGAGATAGTCCAACGGATTGCGGGTGTGTGTGTGTGTTCGAATACTCCCAACTCACCTGGGACTAGTATATATCGATTTTTGGGGTGGACCCTTAGGCCCTGATAACCGCTATTCTTTGTCATCGAAGATGGTGATGGTCAAGATTGATTTCAACAAGAACGAGCTGCTGGGAAATGCACAAGAGCCGAGAGTTAGGGCATACCCTGCTTCTCGGAATGGCAACGAGAAGATATGAGAAAATGCTGTGCTGGTCAAAACTGGCACGATTCTTGTTGCCCTTACTACATCAAACTAACTAACGTTTACACCATCAAACACCTTCCTCTAAAGCTGGATTCCCCACGGTTTCCGCTCCGTGCCTTCTCCAGTGCCACGCCCATGGCCTTCGTGTAAGGCTCCGCTGCTTCCAGGGCTGCACGACGCCCATTATCCCAGTGGTCCGTGAGCACCTGCAACCGCTTCGATTGCTGAGGAACTTCCTTTGAGTTACTAATAGCGATGGCCTCCACCTAAGAGCATGGCCTCCAACCTAAGAGCGATGGCCTCCAGCCTACTAGCTGGAGGGAAAATACGGAAGGAAGGAAAATAAGGACGAACCGACGGACAAGGAACTGAACCTTCTGTTGCATCCCGTTGCTAGATTCTGCTAAACTTGATGCCCCTTGTGGAGGTCCAAGTCTGGTCTTAGCATTCGAACTGACTCCATCCTTCGCTGATGGACACTACCAACTGCGCTGTGCCTGATCTCGCCAGTCTTGCAGCTGCTGGAACTTCTGCTGGAAAAGCTGCTTCACAGCGCCCTTGGCCATGTCCTTGCCAAGTGGCTGCTGGTTGGTAGGGTCAAGCTATGTCAACCTCCGGGCTGATGACTAATTTGAGGAGTCATAAGCGCCAACAACATGATTAGTAGGCTGTAAAGGCTGTTCCAAAATCCATAGCTTGCTCGTCCATGTTCTCTTTCCCATTGTCATGTTGTTGCAGCTAGTCTTCAAGTGCCCGCTCAAGCTTCCTCCCGCAACTGGAGACAAACCCCAAAAGGATATGGAGTCTATGTAACTACCCATTGCTACCCGGTGTGAGGAACGCTTTAATGATAGAGCACCGGCAGTAGTTTCCAATCCTTGGCGCTGGCGTCTGATGTCTTCGCGAAGGCCTTGGCCTTCTCTAACCTCGCGTGGGAGCGGTGGTTGGTGGCCTTTGGCATATCAAGCCTGAACCAAGCAGGTGACAAGACGTGCACATAAGTTATTAAGCAACGTACCAAAGGATGTTGAACACCTGTCAAATTTGGCTATGCCAATTTACAGCAAATCCCGCACTCTCTGGGGAGATCACCAGTCAACAATCAATCCCTCAAGATTTTAGGATGAAGCAAGTGGAGTGAGTTGCCCCGTCGCTACAGTGCCAAAAGAAGCTCCAAAAGTTGATGTCTGGCGGTGGAGCTGAGCAAATCCTTTGCGTCCTCCACGGATCACCATCCTTCGCGTCCTCTACGGGGTACATGTGCCTCTTGAACCCACCATGTTCCCTGGTCCCATCTTTAGTGGGATTGTCGGTGCACAATTAGGTGACTTAACAGATTTGTTATGCACCGTCCGACTCCCTGACTTTCTCTGAGGTGAGTGAGACCTCCTTAGCAAAATACCTCTTACCTCCTTATGAATTGAACCCCCTCTGTTGCCAGCTTTGGAAGGAAAGCTACCAATTCTCTTGCCGCTAAGCCCCCCAACTCTTTCTCGAGCTTCTTATTGCTGTCCTCAGCGTATTTCACCTTGGGCGCGGGTTCTCCACAACTGCTTGGCTGCTCGGAAAGGATAACCCTCGCCTGGCCATGGGAGTGCCACTAGTACATGACAACATGGACACTATCTAGATACGGTACGTCTATCTGGTGCCTATTTCTCACATCTTGCTGGGCACAGCGTTTTGTAGAATTCACCGCCGGCGGTTGGACACTCGGTTGCATGGTACTGAGGTTGGAATCTGCGTGGTCGTGGTGCACCTGTTCAGAAGATTCTGCTGTACCAGTACTGTTCCTGAAGGAACAGTAGTACCCAGACTTTGAGACGTTCCTTCTGTTTCGAGGGAATCTAGTATGCATTCTAGTCTGAAATCCACGAGTGAGGAAAACACAGAAAAGGCCTAGACTTGGGCCTAGACAAGACCCATTCTGCTTGAGCAGCAAGGGTTAGCTAACATTCGGTTTAAAGAGTTCCTGTTCAGAGAAGGCCATTTTCTCTGTTTGAAGGTTTTGGAGATGGTGTCGAGGCGCCCACGCTGACATCCGCTTTTGATGTATCTAACGTGTCTTCCATCGAACAAGAAGCCGATGGTACCGCTACGCCGCCAAACAACATATCATATCGAAAACATTCGAAAAAAATCTGCTCATCTGTGAAAGGCACCTTCCAACTCCTCCTGCCTTACTACTAGTAACAAAAACGCTACTAGGAGCAAAGGGCATCGCTACTAGGAGCAAGGACGCTACTAGGGGCTCCTCGCCTTGCTACTAGGAGCAAGGACGCTACTAGGAGCAAAGGGCATCGCTACGGAAGGCCAAATTCCACGTCCCTCTGATTTTCACCAAGAATCTTCGGCCTCCTGCTGGGCACTGAAGTCCTTGGCTTTGGCCAGCAACACCTGGTGGCCAGTGACACATCCAAGCTCATTGGCTGTGTTGTGTCTTTTGACGCAATTCATTGATGGTTGGATACGTCCAAAGGAAAGAAGTGATGCTCAGAAATCGAATCCAGCCAACCTTTTCTCAGGTCAATGGACTGTCAAGGACACTCAAGCACAGTGACACAATTAGTAATTACATGAAGTCGCCTGAAGACCTCTTGTGGATTCAACCTATCTCAACCTCTCCCTCGTCCCCCTTTAAACAAGACTCTTCATCCCTCCATTTTCACTCACCCAATCTTTCTCGTCCCCAACCTGCTGCGTCATCGCCAACTCCTCCACATGCCTCTCTGCGCCTAAGGCCTCCTCAGCCGCCGCCTGCGCCTGTGCCTGCACCGTGCGGGCTGAGCTCTGGAGCTCCTCCACAGTCCTCGGCGGAAACAATGGAAATAAAACAGAATCATAGAGCACCTGTTGCTAGTACGTCCTTGCTACTAGTAGCTACGCCCTTTGCTACTAGTAGCCACACCCTTGTTACTAGTAGCGAATCTCCCAGGTTGGACGTTTTATGGAACCGTTCCGGAATCTGCATACCATCCGCCTACCATCAAATCCAAACGCATGTCCACGTGCAGAACCTCCTCGACATGACACTCCGGAACCTCTAATCTTTTTGGTGCGCTACATCGCGACGTCCACCACCCCCTTCAGCCAGGAGGCGACTTGTATTGCCGATCTTCCAGCGCCTCGATCTGCCGATCGGCGTCCGCCACCTGCAGATCGGGGATGGTTCCGAACCAAGGACACAAAGGACACAGGTATCGACATGTATCGAGAATAGTTTGGTTACAACGGTTACAACTACTTCCAAAAGATCTGCATTTTGCAAAGTTTGCTGACCAACTGTTTTGCCACACACCTTTTAGCTTGGCGGATAGATTTGTAAGATTCTCACTTGTTTTTGCAAAGTTTCGTTGGGGCTGTAGACTCTTTAAGGTGCTGTCTTTCACCTAGCTTCATATATGATTTTCCCCACATGAATAGTGCCTGTACTCTGTCGAAAGGACCTAAATCCTGTTTCCAATGTCCACCTGTTTGCAACAGGCTATATATACAATGGTTATATATCAATATACATGACATCACAACATATAATGTTGTGACATTATATATCTATATATATTTATAGAAAACTGATGAAAATTGTATATACAAGATTGTCCTGACAAGGTTTGTTTGGGCTGCTGTCTTGGGATGTTAAGTGACGTCCATGTGCGTATTTGTGTGCATTTGCGCATTTGTGTGCTCCCTGGTGATTTTTTGACGAGGCGTGTGCGGTGGATTTCAAATCACTGCTGTTCCGCTACGTCTTGTCAAACAAACACATACAAAACAAACCAATATTGCGTCAAATAACAATTGTTGGAACTGATACCCAATCCACTGCAGTAGCAACAGAGTGCGGCCATGGAGTATCACGGGATCATGTCCATCAACAGTATCCTGCCAAACACTGCATGAAGAGGCGCAACCTTCACGACCAGGACACGTGCTGGCCGCTGGCCTAATAATGCCCTGATGAAGCTAATAAGGTCTGGGTTTCCTACAAGAGAATGACCTCAATTTAACCCAGCAAAACCTGGACTCTCACCGGTACTCTAAGCAATTTGTTCAGATACCTATTGCACAAGACATGTAGGCCTGATCCAGCTGCGGAAGAACAAACAGCAGCAAGCTGCCTGGCCTGTTTCTCACGGTGCTCGCGTTCCTCTCGATGTCCGGCCACCTCCAATTGCAAGGGCTCCTGGGAGGTGAAGGCTCTTTTTACAGTAAAAGTGCATCGCTACTAGTAACAAGTGCATCGCTAGTAGTAACAAGTGCCTTACTGGTAGTAACAAGAAGCTATTAGTAACAAGTGCATCGCTAGTACTAACAAGTGCCTTACTGGTAGTAACAAGAAACTATTAGCAACAAGTGCATCGCTAGTAGTAACAAGTGCCTTACTGGTAGTCACAAGAGCATCGCTAGTAGTAACAAGTGCCTTACTGGTAGCAACAAGAAGCTATTAGTAACAAGTGCATTGCTAGTAGTAACAAGTGCATCGCTAGTAGTAACAAGTGCGTCGCTAGTAGTAACAAGTGCCTTACTGGTAGTAACAAGAAGCTATTAGTAACAAGTGCATCGCTAGTAGTAACAAGTGCATCGCTAGTAGTAACATGTGCATCGCTAGTAGTAACAAGAAGCCGTTAGTAACAAGTGCATCGCTAGTAGTAACAACTGCATCTCTAGTAGTAACAAATGCATCGCTAGTAGTAACAAGTGCAT